TGTTTTTCTGAAATGAAAAAGCCAAATCATGATGTTTTGTGAGTGTTTAGATATTACAGAGGTAACATTGGCTTCATATGTGTAACGTTTATACTGTAATCAAGTCAAGGTTGAAGTAAGTATATTGCCATTCTCATGTAAGGAAACACCTAATTTCTCTTCTGTCTGAGTCCTATCTGAACATCCGGAGAGCGGAAGGTAGCGGGTTCGATCCCCGACCGCATCATACCAAAAGACGTTAAAATATGGTACTTGTTGGTCCCTGCCTGGCGCTCGGCATTAATGGGTACAACAAAGACTGGTCGGCTCGGAGTCAGTATAATGTGTCTGAGTGGGGTATTCATGCTTCACTGCAGCATGGTATCTCAGTGAGCTAGCACTATAAAACCAGCTTCAGTCTGGGCTAGTACAAGCAGCCACACATACACATACACACGCATGCACGTCGTCATATGAGCGAAATATTCTCAAGCACGACGTAAAAACCCAATTTCACCTCACCTATCTGAACATTACCTTTCTTCTTCTTTCACTACTGCTTTGGTTTGAGACCTGACGGGCATAAGCTGAACATGTGACATGACACTCAGTGTATGTTGGGTCATGATTGATGTGAGGGCACTTAGAACCTGGATGTACTAGAACCTGGATGTACTAGAACCTGGATGTACTTGAACCTATATACAATATGGTCCGACAACGGAACTCATGTTTGGGAGCGAGTTTATAACATCTGAATCTGGTTGTAAGCAATTTAAAAAAAAATTCCAACAATATCACTGGGGGCACCAGAAACTGACTTCACACCTTTGACCCATGTAGGGATTCAAACCCTGGTCTCCAGCAAGCAGAAACTTGAACCACTGAGCCACCATGCTACTGACCAACTCAGCTACCATGCTACTGACCAACTCAGCTACCATGCTACTGACCAACTCAGCTACCATGCTACTGACCAACTCAGCCACCATGCTACTGACCAACTCAGCTACCATGCTACTGACCAACTCAGCTCACCAACTCAGCTACCATGCTACTGACCAACTCAGCCACCATGCTGCACCAACTCAGCTCACCCATGCTACTGCTGACCAGCTCCAGCTACCATGCTACTGACCAGCTCAGCCACCATGCTGACCAACTCAGCCACCATGCTACTGACCAACTCAGCTACCATGCTACTGACCAACTCAGCTACCATGCTACTGACCAACTCAGCTACCATGCTACTGACCAACTCAGCTACCATGCTACTGACCAACTCAGCTACCATGCTACTGACCAACTCAGCTACCATGCTACTGACCAACTCAGCTGTGGAGAAATGAAAGTTTCATTTCATTTGGATTTTCAGTCATCAAGTGTATTCATAAAAGATATTAATTTCAATGTAAACATGTCTTCATTTCGGTTCATAATAATTTCTGTATGATATTCTATAATCATTGTCAGAAAGTCTCGTGTATATTGAAATATTTTGTTATGTATGCCAGTTGTGAGGAGGAAGTTGTGTTACAGCATCCAGTTTAATTAGGTAATATAATAGACATACCTTGCAATACCACACACTGCCGCCTTACCTGGGAGAAAACGGACTACACCTGAATTATTTAGTTGGCTGCAAATTAGATCCTTCCTAATCTAGATCTCCAGTAGCGACTATTGACAATACCTCATTATAACGCCAATATTAGTATCCTGTCTGACATGTGGAGATTCTTATCTTGATGTGCTGAAAGGAATACAGAGATATCACCCTGCAAGTTAAAAGCTTGTCTGATCCTGACTGTGTGTGTTGAGTGGTGTAATAGCTGTGACGAATGGGACCGCGTTATAAAGGGGTTTGTTTGGAAACGTCACTGAGGTCGGCCATTCAAGCATGTATTTCAAGTTGAGCGGGAGACTGAGTGGAACGTGTTATTTAAACATGTCACATGCAGGTAATGGGGCCTGATTTTTCAGACGTACAAGAAAGATATATTTTATGTTGTCAGTTATGGAGGATGCCTTTGAAATATGTGCCTAATTATGCCCAACAAAGAAACAGTGGGTGAAATGGTTGAAGAAGTGTGTGGTTTGTCCAGGTAGAATCACGTATTGATTGCATACCTGAGACCACCAAGCCACGGTATGGCACTGAGATTACCTTCATGTACATTGCATGTATATCTGGGAACCACAGTGGTCCGACACACTATTTGATTGGCAGGTTGCATGTACATAGCAGCTGTCTGGCTGCAGTGAGGAAGGGGGGCCTGTACTCTCTCACACACACACACACACACACACACACACACACACACACACACACACACACACTCTCTCAACACTATCAACACAACGGCACCCAAATCTACAGAAACACCCCCACAATACCTGTACACATGGCACCAGAAATATTACCGTGGTTGGCCTCAGTACAGTTTGTGTGATTGTTCCTTGAATGGCAGCTGTCATAGAGATGTTTTCATTTTAGATTTTTTTGTTCTTCTGCATGGAAAATAATACATGTTGACATGTTGTTGATATTAACTGTGTATGATCGGTTGATATTTCTTGTGTATGTGAACTTACCTAAATAATTTTAGTTATGGAAGTCTTTTGATGTACCACATACAATATGCTTCATATTCAAGGAAAATATTGTTAATTAATGAATGGTAGATAATCATATAGTGCAATATGTAGATATCAAATAATTGAAAATTATATGTAAACGATAATGTTGGAAATAGTAATGATAACAATAAGACAAAGATGATTATATGCAATATATATTCATGTAATATGTGCAGTAACAGTAATTGTGATATCAACAACCAGCCTGTGTGTTATAAATAGTAACAATGAACGTAAGAAAGCGACGTGTATTACTGTGGTGTGAGATTGCTGCAGTGTTACACTGATACATGGCATCAGTAATATTGATATCGACTTCCTGTCCGGCAGGAAACAACGCCCTACAAAACAACAGCTTCCTGTAGAGACCCCATTACATCAGCTGGCAGTGACTTTATAGAGGCTTGTGTTTTAAGTAGTAGGATTTCTTACAGTTTGGCCTATAATTCAATGTGGTGAATGAAAGAAACTCTGACTTCTGCTACTGATGAACGACAACAATTATGATGATGTTTTACCTGGCAAGACACTGAAAGATAATTGATTTGTTTCTTCAGTCAGTAGAATGTATTACTGACATATTTGACAAACAGCAGTAATTGTAACTTTGATTTTCACCTAATCGTAAAATAGAATCTGCCCAAAATATTTACTCAAATGTCATTTATTTGTTTTGTCATACATCTGTAATAGTTTTGGGGGGCCTTGTAGACCTATAGAAATTGAAATATAAGGCTTCTCAGAAGGATCTGTGCCCTAATAAGTGTTGTAGAAATGATCTGGCTTAAATCTCCTGGTATCATAGCTCTATGTTGGTTGTTATATTAGATGTGAGTCAGGTGATGCACTGTTGAGCCTTGTCTGGACAAACTAGTTGTTTAACTATTTTACTTGATGTTGTGGCTTTAAACATACATCGTGTCCTTTCTGGCAGTTATAGGTCCGGGTTTGTTTCCCACATGGGTTTGTATGTACCCGTCACAGTTTCACAATAAGATGGCTGCAGTGTTAAGCTGTTCACTGAAGGATCGTTGTTTAATGTGTTCCAGCAAGAGATAATAATGTCTTCTTAAACAGCCTGATTTGATAAATATGGGTTGCCATAGTTTCAAGGTCAGCAGAGAACAGATAAACTTAATATGGTGGAAATCATTGCGGCATGCACCTATTCAACTAGTGACCTTGAACTTTAGGTAGATAGCCTGTAGTTTTCAGTGATAATTGTTTTTATCTTTCCTGTTTTATAATCTTTCCTTATCTATTTCTTCTTTCCAAACTCTTATTTTACTATCTTGAGATGAAATAAATGATGAAATATAGTATATATTTTTACAACAAACTTGAAACTACAGCTGGGTTTGACATGGGTGGATCTCTGATCCTTTCACACCAGAAGTAGTTAGCTACATGTCATAGTTTCATATCATGAACCGGAGGTCTGGTGGGGCACCGTTGAGGTGGGATAAGTTACTGTGACAATGATGAGCTTCTAGATGTACACACTATATTACCGACGAGTTATGTCTTGTGGGACACCGTTGAGGTGGGATAAGTTACTGTGACAATGATGAGCTTCTAGATGTACACACTATATTACCGACGAGTTATGTCTGGTGGGGCACCGTTGAGGTGGGATGATTTACTGTGATAATGTTAGCTTCTAGATGTACACACTATATTACCGACGAGTTATGTCTGGTGGGGCACCGTTGAGGTGGGATGATTTACTGTGACAATGATGAGCTTCTAGATATACAGACTATATTACCGACGTGTTATGCCTTGTGGGGCACCGTTGAGGTGGGATAAGTTGCTGTGACAATGATGAGCTTCTAGATGTACAGACTATATTACCGACGAGTTATGTCTGGTGGGGCACCGTTGAGGTGGGATAAGTTGCTGTGACAATGATGAGCTTCTAGATGTACAGACTATATTACCGACGAGTTATGTCTGGTGGGGCACCGTTGAGGTGGGATGATTTACTGTGATAATGATGAGCTTCTAGATGTACAGACTAAATTACTGACATGTTGTGTCTGGTGGGGCACCGTTGAGGTGGGATGATTTACTGTGATAATGATGAGCTTCTACATGTACAGACTATATTACCGACGTGTTGTGTCTGGTGGGACACCATTGAGGTGGGATAAGTTACGGAGTTGAAGGATACTGACACGTATTGATTGACTGCAGGTAGACACCAATACTAGCACATGCAGTGTAAGCCAGATCAGCTCTAGAGAACATCTCTACTGTGTTCATGGACATGCACAAAGGTATTGTTGGTGACAGCTACCATTTCAGTGGATGGCATGTGTAGAAGGGATGGGGAGGTAACCTACATGTGAAAAGTGTAATAAACTGGTGTTCTGTTCCAGCTGGAGTCACTACGGGTCCAGCATGAATCTCAGATGGCGGCTTTACAAGGTGAACTGGATGCAGAGCGGGACCGCAACTCCCAGCAACACTTGCAGCTACAGGAACAACACCAACAGGTAACAAGTGTTGATGGTGTCACTGTGTGGAGTAGAGCCACAGTCTCCTATTTAATCTCTTATGAAACACAGAAGGTTTTTTCTTTGTGCTTTCTTCCTGTGTCCAGCCAAAAGAGCAATTACATATTTTAATTATGACGAGGCAATGAGACAATTATTTGAAAATATGACGATATTTGCAAATGTTGGCACAGAGTGTTGCCCGGTTGCGAGAAGAGTTGGCGGAGGAGAAGGCGGTCTTGTTGGATACCGTGTTGACACAGATCTCCGAGCTCACTCACCAACAGATCCAACAGGCCAAACACGAGAACCGGGTCAGTAACTGCTTCAGCCATCTTCTGTTGTTTCATTTTATATCAAAATCAGGCTATGTCATGTTATATTCATTGATCGGAAATTCTGACTGATTTTGATCCTCATTTCTTCCCCCAAAGACCTGCAACTCCCCTGTCTGATGAGGATGAGGATTTGGAGATTAAATATGCACTATTGAAGTCGGCTTTAAACACTCATTCATAACATCCTGATCTGTTGATCATTGTGTATGATGTCAGCCCGTGGTTTGCCTGATCCAGTACCATGAAACAACAGCAACTGACCCACTAATCTACCTGTCACCCTTCTCAACCACTGACCCATCATCCACTGACCCACCATCCACTGACCCACCATCCACTGACCCACCATCCACTGACCCACCATCCACTGACCCACCACCCACTGACCCACCATCCACTGACCCACCATCCACTGACCCACCATTGACTGACCCACTATCCACTGACCAACTCACCCACTGACCCACCATCCACTGACCCACCATCGACTGACCCACTATCCACTGACCAACTCACCCACCATCCCTCTCATCTGTTCACCCACTGACCCACCTACCCACCATGCCTCACCATATCCCTGTGTCCCCTGTTCTCCAGGATGAAGTGGAGCTGCAGGTGAAAGGGATGAAGGTGGCAATGGAGCAGATCCACACGAGTCAGCTGAACCTGGTTCGGTCAAAGCTGGAGGCGGAGCACGCTGCCCACATTGCCCATCTACATCAAACACTTACCAAAGATCGACTGACCAGTCACTCAGAGACGGGTACGTGTTGTCGTGATGTCTAACATCTCCTCATGAGTTCATTTGTCTTTACCAAAAGCCTGTCTTCAGGCAACGTGAAATAGCCAGGTTCCAGTGGAAGAGAGGCAACAGACTGCCCAGAACCAGTGTTCCTGTCAGACAGTGTTTAGTTAATGCTCAGTGTCATTTGAGAACCATGAGGTAAATATGATTAGACAACCACACCTCATGCAGCCATATGTGTTCATGGATTAAGGAGGATTTGGAGAGAATGATAAACAAAATCACACCACCAATGTATTGATGTTTAAGGATGAATGTAATGTAGCAACTGTCTGTAGCATATAATATACCCAGTGTCTCTGTGTCCAGCCCCAGGTGCTATGTCAGGGTTGGGGCCAGTGGATGAGAGACTCACTCACAGATATGAACAGCTGCTTCAGGTGAGTGTGATTCATGTGTCAGACCTCGGATGTAAAGTCATTCTGGAATAATTCTGTTCTACGCAACCTGCATTTACTTCTTTAACAGCTAACTTTGTGACCTGTTGTGATGACATTGTTGATTAATTTGGAGTAATCGAGTTTCTATTGATATTTCTTTGGGTGTAAATGTGCATAGCAGTCAAACCCCGGTTGATTATAGCAGCAGTTAAGTGGTGATAAAATAGATCCACACATTTATAGTTTTTGCAGTTTTGCCAGAAGGTAGTTTCAGATGCTGGAAACTTGGATGTCCAGAAATGTTGTGACAGCTTGTTACATCGTTGATAGTATAAGGTGTGTTCTCAAAACTCAGCTAAGGTGATCAATGTGTCCAGGATAATGATCACTATAGATCGAAGACAATAATATTTGAAGATAATAGTTTGACTCAGTTTTTTGTCCTCCAGAGGATCAACGAGCAGTTGGAACTGCAGGTACTCCGTGACCTTGAGGACACGCCCCCTGGTGGTGACCCAAGTGACCTTAGCATCCCCAGCACTTCAGAAGGTAACTTCAGTGTACAGAAACAACATGTCAGACTGCATGATTTCGAACATGCTGTTTACAGACCGCCGCCATATAGCTGGAATATTGCTGAGTGCGGCGTAAAACTGAACTCACTCACTCACTCACTTGAACATGCTGTAAAATTCTGCTTTAATTGGATACATTTAATACATATTTTGTTTATTTGTTGTGTTCCACTCCAGTTGTACGATGACAGTATGTGAACATCTAAGTCTGGACCATAACCATATTTCTAAGCGATTAGGATACAATGATAGGCATCATCAAACCAGTTGGCCTGACACCCTGTCACGCGAGTCACCTCTGAGCATGTGTGTCTGAAGAGCAGTTCTACCCCTGATCTTCCAGGGTTAACGTGTTGATTGCTTGCTGTTTGACAGCAGTTGAACTCTAAACTTGATTTCTGAGCAATATCAAATTGAAAGAAACACATTTATTCTTATAACTGTATTCTAACTATCTAAAACAGTCTGTTTCTTGGCCTCTTACCTTGAGTTATCTCCCTTTGACTTTCTTCAGCAATCCGAAACCTTCTTGAGAGTCAGCGAGAAGAGATCTCACAGCTGAGGAGTCAGATGTTGTCAGAGTATGAGACGATGTTGCAGTCACGGACACAAGGTGTCACATCACAGTCAGAGCAGGTGGCGTTGTTGCAGCGTGAGATGGAGACGCTGCAGGCACAGTATGAAGACCAAGTCCGAACATTCCAGGAGAAACTAGCACTGACTACAGGTGTGTAATATTGGGGGCTGTGTGTTGGCCAAAATCTTGTATTGCAGTATACGATGATAAAGGTGTTACTTAAAGCAGTGATTGTACAAAACACCTTGTTTTCTATTCATTGAAGTCAGTGTCAACATTAGTATACTCAGTTGCCGCCATATTGTTGTCATGGATACAGGGGAGATATTTGAGTGAAAAATCTCAGCCTTCTTTCCGCTCTCTTGTCAGTCTGTTAGTTGAGAATGTGTTGATTTCATGTTAAAAGATACAGAAATAACAAGACTTTCTTTTAGTAAATATGCAGGAAAACATGTTGTGCTGGTATTGTTTAGTGTAGTGTTGATTGAAATACTGCATAGTGCTAGAAATATTACCTTGAGGCAGTGGGTCTTGGTGAAAGTAATGTTAGGTAATTAATGATCTCTGTTAAATAATTATAAATGCTTTAATTTAGATGGTTTATTAATACGTCATGAAATCAAAGGATGTAAAAATATATTTTTCGCAATATTATTGTGCATTGTTAAAGAGTTTACACTCAGTGACCTGTCATGGTGGGATGTTACTCATGATATCAACCACTGGTTTGTCTGGTCCAGACTCAGTGACCTGTCATGGTGGGATGTTACTCATGATATCAGCCACTGGTTTGTCTGGTCCACACTCAGTGACCTGTCATGGTGGTGTGTTACTCATGATATCAACCACTGGTTTGTCTGGTCCACACTCAGTGACCTGTCATGGTGGGGTGTTACTCATGATATCAACCACGTGTCCGTCTGGTCCACACTCAGTGACCTGTCATGGTGGGGTGTTACTCATGATATCAACCACTGGTTTGTCTGGTCCACACTCAGTGACCTGTCTTGGTGGTGTGTTACTCATGATATCAACCACTGGTTTGTCTGGTCCACACTCAGTGACCTGTCATGGTGGGATGTTACTCATGATATCAGCCACTGGTTTGTCTGGTCCAGACTCAGTGACCTGTCATGGTGGTGTGTTACTCATGATATCAACCACAGGTTTGTCTGGTCCACACTCAGTGACCTGTCATGGTGGGGTGTTACTCCTGATATCAACCACTGGTTTGTCTGGTCCACACTCAGTTATTTGTGACTGTGACATTGTTGTTCACTTGCTTGTTCACTCACTGTTTCTATCTGTAGAGGCCGACAAGGAAAAGATTCGAACTCAAGAAGAACAAACCAAAGAGCTTGAAAACTTGCGGATGTATTATGAGAAACATGTGCAAGATATAGAGAAAACATACTCCGATGAAATCACTGATTTGAGGACTAAGTATGAAATGCAGCTCAGCAATATGTTAGCCAGCACTGATAGAGATTCTGAAAACTTGTCCGATTCAAGAGAGTTTGAGAAACTTGCTAAAGAGCGAGCGTACGTGCAGCGTACAACCATGTTGACTGTCATTACTGATAGCGATGAGTCGTCTGCTACTGAATCACCTCGTGGGTCCACGAAGTCTGATTCAAGACTCTCAGATCTGGAGAGACTGGTTCAAGAACGGGATGTCAAGATCAGTGACTTAGAAAAATTGCTTGAGGAGGAGAAAATAAGATCAAGAGATTCAGCTGAGGAAGTGAAACTTTTGAAAGATCAGTTAAATGAACAAGAAAAGAGAATTAGTGATTTGAATTCTGAGCTTTCAGAAAAAGTGAATACGGTTTTGGAGCTTCAGAGTGTTGTGTCTGATAAAGAGAAGACTGTGTTGGAGCTTCAGCGTGTTGTGTCTGATAAAGAGAAGACTGTGTTGGAGCTTCAGCGTGTTGTGTCTGATCGAGAGAAGGATGTTGAGGACATCAAGACTGTTGTTTCCGACAAGGAGAAAGTTATCGAGGATCTGGAGGTTGTTGTTGCAGAAAAGGAGAAAATGCTTCAAAACATTGAGGATGAAAAGGAGAAGTATTTGAATGAGTTGCAAGAGAAGGATATCAGGAGTGATGACTCCAGTAGTGTGGATTACTCCCAGGACAAGCACGAGCTCATCACCAGGCTGGAGGAGCTGGAACACTCACACAAACAGGAGCTGGAGTCACTTCGACATGACCTTGAACACGACAACAAAGTGGAAATTGAAACTCTACAGTCAGAGTTCAAAGTTCAGCTTGAAATTGAACTTAAACGGCAAGCTGCGGAATTACAAACAATACACGAAGAAAACATGAAGAACTTGGAATTTAATCAACAAGTGAGTGATGATATAGTGTCAAGGGAGGTAACTACTGTTGAGGCAATGGTTCAGCAGACGACCCCAGTGGAGACATGTGAAAGTGATTTGAGTTCCTCGGAAGGTATATCAAGTGCCGCCACAACTGTTACTGTGGATGTTGCTGAGGATGTTGTTGATGCTGTTCCTGATGTGAGTGAAGCTACAGCTGATGTTAAGGTACAGCTTGAATCAAGGATTAGATCTTTGGAGGCGGAGTTAGATAAATTACGATCTGAGCGAGATGAACTTTCCAAGAAGCATCATCAGGACATGGAGAATCTACAGTCACAGTTGGACGAGGAAAGGGAAAGAAATGACAAACTTGTTTCCGGTGAGTGATAGTTTGCACTTGTATGTTTAGCCAAATTAAATTTGACCATTTGTAGATGTCGAGGCTGATCATGTTCCTTGTGCTCAGTTCTTGTTTTTGAAGCCGATGAGTTAGGCGGAGATAGTGGTTGACCAGGCTGATGTTTACCACACCTGTTCAAATCTCAGATTCACCCTCATATATTTCTAGGTTTATCTACTACACCCATGCCGGTTGGTATTAATAAATTAGTAAACATTAACAGTCTATATCACTTTGGGTTTCCTTGAATGTCCAGCTGATGTCAACAGAAGTACTGTTCGTGTTAAAGTCCCTCCCTCTTATGATACCCTGATGTGGATTGTTGCTCGTTCTGTCAATCACTCGTTTGCCTGTCCAAGAGCTGACTGACTGTCAAGTTGTTGTGATGTGCGTATTCTGCTGACTGTGCAGTAAATCATCACTCTTTGACTGGCTGTTGTAGATATGGATGACGAGGAGCTGCTGAAGGAGAAGTACGACCAGCAGCTCGAGCTGTCCAAGCAGCTGATGCAGCAGGAGTTCACCGAGACGCTGGAGTCAGAGAGGGTGAGTCAGTTGTGTAGCTCGCTCATAGACCAACAGTCAGAGAACAGATAGTTGTGTAGCTCGCTCACAGACCCACAGTCAGAGAACAGATAGTTGTGTAGCTCATTCTCAGTGCCACAGTCAGAGAACAGATAGTTGTGTAGCTCGCTCACAGACCAACAGTCAGAGAACAGATAGTTGTGTAGCTCATTCTCAGTGCCACAGTCAGAGAACAGATAGTTGTGTAGCTCGTTCTCAGTGCCACAGTCAGATAACAGATAGTAGGGTACATAGCCTCCATACTACTGCCTCATGCTAATTTGCATGGCACAAGACCAGACTTTAAACATATGTGATATTTCGGAAATCAAAAGAGACTGGTCTAGTGCAAGTTTTGTGGTGCACTGACCATGTTGTTTTGTATAGTTATATAGATTTTCTACTGGAACTCGGATTGTGAGGAGCATGACAATACATATTTATACATCAACTGTGTTTCTAGATCTTGATTTGACTTTGTAACATGTGACAAATGTCGGCATTAAACTCTGGGTAGGAGAGTGGTTACCAGATAGCGTCTTTGCCGACCGATTTGAGGGGATCCTGGGGTTGGTTCTACAGAGTTAAGGGGTAGATAGACTTGTCCAGGTGTTGCTGAAAGCTTACATTTGATTCTCGTTGGCTTCTGTTTGAATATTGCCAGCTGTGGCCTAAAACAACATTCACTCGCATTTCTTGTCATATTGGTGGATATTATTACAGAATTTCACTCTCACTTTCTGACTTTCTGACTTTCTGACTTTATGACCGCTAGTGATAACTAAATGCCAGACCTGCAGCAACCTGTGTTTGTCCTTCTAGCGGTGACAGTGAGGCCCTACTCCTTGGTTGGCTGTGTACCTGTGTAGGTGTGTGTGCATACTATCTGTCACTGGTTCAAACCTGATGTAGACCTGATTGTTTACAGACCATGCTCACATAGACCTGATTGTTTACAGACCATGCTCATGTAGACCTGATTGTTTACAGGTCATGTAGACCTGACTGTTGACAGATCATGCTCATGTAGACCTGATTGTTTACAGGTGCTGTAGACCTGACTGTTGACAGATCATGCTCATGTAGACCTGATTGTTTACAGACCATGCTCATGTAGACCTGATTGTTTACAGACCATGTAGACCTGACTGTTGACAGATCATGCTCATGTAGACCTGATTGTTTACAGGTGATGTAGACCTGATTGTTTACAGACCATGTAAACCTGATTGTTTACAGACCATGTAGACCTGATTGTTTACAGACCATGCTCATGTAGACCTGATTGTTTACAGGTCATGTAGACCTGATTGTTTACAGACCATGTAAACCTAATTATTTACAGACCATGTAGACCTGATTGTTTACAGACCATGCTCATGTAGACCTAATTGTTTACAGGTCATGCAGACCTGATTGTTTACAGACCATGTAAACCTAATTGTTTACAGACCATGTAGACCTGATTGTTTACAGGTGATGTAGACCTGATTGTTTACAGGTCATGTAGACCTGATTGTTTACAGACCATGTAAACCTAATTGTTTACAGACCATGTAGACCTGATTGTTTACAGACCATGTAGACCTGATTGTTTACAGACCATGCTCATGTAGACCTAATTGTTTACAGACCATGTAGACCTGATTGTTTACAGACCATGTAGACCTAATTGTTTACAGACCATGTAGACCTGATTGTTTACAGACCATGTAGACCTGATTGTTTACAGACCATGTAGACCTGATTGTTCACAGACCATGCTCACGTGTCTCGACTATTGTGAGTGCGGCTTTAAACAACCAATGACAACAAACAGTGTTACTGCTGTCTGAAGTCAAACTTATCTTCACACCCGTACAGAAGCGAACAGAAAGGCTATAACACGATTATGTCTACTGTATGCCAGAAACCTGATCTTCACATAAACTGTGAAATACAAACTTGTTAACTTCAGTGCCTATCGGTGACTTATCACCCGATCCAAGTCTGGCCTCGCGTCATTGATTTCCCATAATTCCAAGTGTCAGTCACATGGAAGGTAAATGGAAGACTCACTTGAAGACGACTGTAATCAGTGTTAGTCATTACCGAAACTGTTGTGTGGTGTAATTGTATCACGACACCATGGGGGAGACGAAGAACGAAGTGTCTTTATGTCTCGGTGACCTGGGATGACATTACTCAGTGTGAAAACCGGTATAGGTTATCAAGTTGACATTCATGTATGTGGAGGTTTTATAAAAATCAGAATAAAATAATGTCAAATAGCTTGAAATTAATTTGAATAACTCTTTGTAATTATTTGAAAATAATTTCGTCAGTATGGGAAATATTCCAAACTCAAAAACTGTCAATCATTTCAGTGAGTGTTAGTTAGTTGGCTGATTGGTGGTTGATAAGACTGGATGACGTGAGTCTGGTCTGGAACCCCCCTACACGACACATGCACACACACAGTTCTGTCACTGATCTGGTGACGACTGCAGGCTGACCTGTGTAGGGGAGATCCTACGTTATGACCAGTGTAGGGGAGATCCTACGTTATGACCAGTGTAGGGGAGATCCTACGTTATGACCAGTGTAGGGGAGATCCTACGTTATGACCTGTGTAGGGGAGATCCTACATTATGACCAGTGTAGGGGAGATCCTACGTTATGACCAGTGTAGGGGAGATCCTACGTTATGACCTGTGTAGGGGAGATCCTACGTTATGACCAGTGTAGGGGAGATCCTACGTTATGACCTGTGTAGGGAAATCCTACGTTATGACCAGTGTAGGGGAGATCCTACGTTATGACCTGTGTAGGGGAGATCCTACGTTATGACCAGTGTAGGGGAGATCCTACGTTATGACCAGTGTAGGGGAGATCCTATGTTATGACCTGTGTAGGGAAGATCCTACGTTATGACCAGTGTAGGGGAGATGCTACGTTATGACCTGTGTAGGGGAGATCCTACGTTATGACCAGTGTAGGGGAGTTCCTACGTTATGACCAGTGTAGGGGAGATCCTGCGTTATGACCAGTGTAGGGGAGATCCTACGTTATGACCAGTGTAGGGGAGATCCTACATTATGACCTGTGTAGGGGAGATCCCACGTTATGACCAGTGTAGGGGAGATCCTCACGCTATGACCTGTGTAGGGGAGATCCTACGCTATGACCAGTGTAGGGAGATCCTCACGCTATGACCAGTGTAGGGGAGATCCCACGCTATGACCAGTGTAGGGGAGATGCTACGTTATGACCTGTGTAGGGAGATCCTACGTTATGACCTGTGTAGGGAGATCCCACGTTAAGTGACCAGTGTAGGGGAGATCCTACGTTATGACCAGTGTAGGGAGATCCTACATTATGACCTGTGTAGGGGAGATCCTCGTTGCCAGACCAGTGTAGGGGAGATCCTACGTTATGACCAGTGTAGGGGAGATCCTACGTTATGACCTGTGTAGGGAGATCCTACGTTATGACCTGTGTAGGGAGATCCTACGCTATGACCAGTGTAGGGGAGATCCTGCGCTATGACCTGTGTAGGGAGATCCCACGCTATGACCAGTGTAGGGAGATCCTAACGTTATGACCAGTGTAGGGGAGATCCTACGTTATGACCAGTGTAGGGAGATCCTACATTGTGACCTGTGTAAGGGAGATCCTACGTTATGACCAGTGTAGGGGAGATCCTACGTTATGACCTGTGTAGGGAAGATCCTACGTTATGACCTGTGTAGGGGAGATCCTACGTTATGACCAGTGTAGGGGAGATCCTACGTTATGACCTGTGTAGGGGAGATCCTACGTTATGACCAGTGTAGGGGAGATCCTACGTTATGACCAGTGTAGGGGAGATGCTACGTTATGACCTGTGTAGGGGAGATCCTACGTTATGACCTGTGTAGGGGAGATCCTACGTCGTGACCAGTGTATGGGAGATCCTACATTATGACCAGTGTAGGGGAGATCCTACATTATGACCTGTGTAGGGGAGATCCTACGTTGTGACCAGTGTAGGGGAGATCCTACGTTATGACCAGTGTAGGGGAGATCCTACGTTATGACCTTTGTAGGGGAGATCCTACGCTATGACCAGTGTAGGGGAGATCCCATGCGTTACTATGACTTGTGTAGGGGAGATCCCACGTTATGACCAGTGTAGGGGAGATCCTACGTATGACCAGTGTATGACCTGTGTAGGGGAGATCCTACGTTGTGACCTGTGTAGGGGAGATCCTACGTTATGACCAGTGTAGGGGAGATCCTACGTTATGACCTGTGTAGGGAAGATCCTACGTTATGACCTGTGTAGGGGAGATCCTACGTTATGACCAGTGTAGGGGAGATCCTACATTATGACCAGTGTAGAAACAAACACCCTGCTTGAGTGTAGCGCTGTGGGGAGGTCACACATCAGGGCAGGTTTTGTGGGGGACAGACAAACAGATTTGATTACCCTGTGGATTTAGGAGGAATGTCATAATGGTTTCTTGCCTTGTATTGACAATGTTATTGATGTTTGTGTCTGTTGGTCACTGGGATTAGTCAGTTGGGTCAGTGTTGTATGCTGGGACTCATCATGGCGTGGTCCTAATGGAGATAGCCGCTGAAGGTAAGTTTGGGTATTAGTAAACACTGGAAATAATGATGCTGAAATATAAATTTATTCATGATAATGATATTAGTTGTGCATCATTTACTTACATGCGTATTTGTACATAATGAAGTATATTCTCAGAGTAGGACATAGTGGGCTAGATGTGTTTAACTGTGTGAAAAGTTAGCTGATGGTGTAGTGGTGGCGGTGGTAGTAGTGGTAGTAGTTGTGGTGCTGTTGATGTGGCGCACCAAGTTCACCCCTCCTCAGACTCAGGGTGAGGCAACCCCATGTCACATCCTAGTATGATGACTGCCTGTTGTCTAGTGGACACAACATCTTCCTAGACAGCGTGTAGTTGTAGGTTTGATCTTGTGGCACACCAAGTTCACCCCTCCTCAGACTCAGGGTGAGGCACCCCCATGTCACATCCTAGTATGATGACTGCCTGTTGTCTAGTGGACACAACATCTTCCTAGACAGCGTGTAGTTGTAGGTTTGATCCTGTGGCACACCAGTAGATGTTACATGTTGTCGCCCTGCCTGTAATCCTACAGTAAGCCAGGTAAACCCCATTTCTCTTTGTTTTAATGACCACTTCCAGCAGAGCTAATTACAGCATGACGGTATGGTCAAAGAGACCGGGGCTTATCTGGCCCAGGTCACATGACTAGGATTAGCTCCCGTGTATAATGAAGTATGGCAAGTTTGCTCGTTTGTGGCTAACAGTGCTTGTCACATGCTCGTCCGGGGATTAGCATCTTGTTGTAATTACTACCAATTGAGAGATTGTGATAAACATGGCTCAATTAGCCTTCTGAGTTAACTGTTAACTGGGACAAGTGTTGTCTTGATCAGGTCACTGTGACATTCAACCTTCAGTGGTCAGGACTGTAGGACTGGAGGGTTGTACCTTACACAGTGGACATGAACATAGAAGGTCAGTGCTAGATATAGGGTGTTTGGAGGATGCTGGTCACAGTGGTCAGGGCTGGAGGGTTGTACCTTGTCACATACACAGTGGACATGAACATAGAAGGTCAGTGCTAGATAAAGGGTGTTTGGAGGATGCTGGTCACAGTGGTTATCATGATATGCGAAATGAAGTTCATGTAATGATTATAACATGTCATAACATATGATTTGTAGATTTTCCTGTCCAACCCTTATTATTAAAAGCAAAACAAAACATGAATGCTTATGATATGCTGCTGCCGCTGATGATGATGGTGACGATTACAATGATGATAACAATGATGATTACAATGATGACAGATATGCACAAGTTTTCCCAGTTCAGAAGTTGATCACTGGATTATATGGTCCAGACTTGATTATTTACAGACCGTCGCCATATGGCTGTAATACTGCTGAGTCGGTGTAAAACTAAACTCACTCACTCACTCCTAGTTCCGAACATCACCATATAGAAAGAGCAAATAAATATTTGTCTAGAATACATGTATTTGCAAAATCTGATCAGTTGCAGAAGTATTACCTGTATGTAGTGAGGTTTTACCTGTATATTGTGATGTTTTACTTGTATTTAGTGATGTTTTACTTTCAAGTAGTGAGATTTTACCTGAATGTAGTGAAGTTTTACCTGTATGTAGTGAGGTTTTACCTGTATGTAGTGAGGTTTTACCTGTCTGTAGTAAAGTTTTACCTGTCTGTAGTAAGGTTTTACTTGTATGTAGTGAGGTTTTACCTGTATGTAGTGAAGTTTTACCTGTATCTAGTGAGGTTTTACCTGTATGTAGTGAGGTTTTACCTGTCTGTAGTAAAGTTTTACCTGTCTGTAGTAAGGTTTTACCTGTATGTAGTGAGGTTTTACCTGTATGTAGTGAGGTTTTACCTGTATGTGAGGTTTTACCTGTGAGGTTTTACCTGTATGTAGTGAAGTTTTACCTGTCTGTAGTGAGGTTTTACCTGTATGTAGTGAGGTTTTACCTGTGTGTAGTGAAGTTTTACCTGTATGTAGTGAAGTTTTACCTGTATGTAGTGAGGTTTTACCTGTCTGTAGTGAGGTTTTACCTGTCTTTGACCTGTATGTAGTGAGGTTTGACCTGTCTGTAGTGAGGTTTGACCTGTATGTAGTGAAGTTTTACCTGTATGTAGTGAAGTTTTACCTGTCTGTAATGAGGTTTTACCTGTCTGTCGTGAGTGTATGTAGTGAGGTTTTACCTGTATGTAGTGAGGTTTTACCTGTATGTAGTGAGGTTTTACCTGTCTGTAGTGAGGTTTTACCTGTCTGTCGTGAGGTTTTACCTGTATGTAGTGAGGTTTTACCTGTCTGTAGTGAGGTTTTACCTGTCTGTAGTGAGGTTTTACCTGTCTGTAGTGAGGTTTGACCTGTCTGTAGTGAATGTAACCCTGCTGGATTATCCCAAACATCCACCTGTTAGATCAGTGGAGCCGACCCAGCTGTTGCTAGTTGACAGATCAATTATTCAGTGGTCACCTGTAATCTGAAGACTGAGGACTTGTGTTTACCTCATGTGATACAGGACTGATACAGAAATGACACGAACTGATTCAGTAATCTACAGTGTACAAATGCTGTTGTCATATTTTTCTACACGATATTGAGGAGATCCTGGGTTGGCACATTTGTGGATTTTTGGTTTCTTTGTTACTACCATTGACTTCATAAAATTAAAAAATAAATAATAAAAACATATATAGGGGTGGTTGGATAGCCTACTGGTTAAAGCGTTTGCTCATCACGCCGAACACAGGGTCGATTCCCCACATGGGTACAATGTGTGAAGCGCATTTCTGGTGTCCCCTGCCATGATATTGCTGAAATATTGCTGAAAGTGGCATTAAACCATACTCACTCACTCATAAAAATTATAAATATTAAAATGCATCAATCGAAACGACATATTTTACTTAATTTCTACATTATTCTCTATATTCGGGGCAATAGCATTACTGAGAAGGCTGACCAAATATGGTCCAGGAACCGGAATACAGTTCTATAAAGGTCTTCCTGTCCTGACGGTTCAGCTTGGCTTCTCATTGTCCAACCCCAAACAGACCTTGTTAAAGCTGGACAGCACCAGGAAATGTACAAAAATAAAATCACTGTTTAATGATTTGTGTATATGTAAAATTTTAACAAAATGCCACGTTTTAGAAGTTCATGAGAAGACAACACTTATTTTGAGCCATATTTATTTTATGAGAATTATAAATGACATTTTGGCTTGAATAATACTGAAAGCAGCATAAAATTAAACTCAATAATTTATAAAACATTTCTATAAATATACAGTCATGAAGTCTACAGTGTTTTTAGATCAATGCTCTGGGAATGTTGCCAGTGTTGAGTATAATCAGCCTGAGTATGGTTGTTTTACAATGAAGCAATAAACAGAACCAGGCTGAGGACTGACCCTTACAGTTGACAGTTATGTCTACTGACAAGTTTACTTATCTCAGAGACATAAATCTCCACGCCCACTGTGACTGTTTTCTATGAGTCTGTTCATATTGGCCAGTGTTTACATGGTATACAACTTTGACGGTTGTGTGACTGTCAGTGGTCGCAGGGTTACTCCCAACCAACATGGATATTTGGCCTCTCCTTCCAGCCGGAGAGCTGGGGGTGGCCATTGTGAATTGTAGCTGAATTCTCCATTGCTGCACATATTCATCGGCACAAAAACATGACATAGTTATGTCATCCAATTCACAAAACACAAGTCCAGATGTGAGAGTCATTCTCTTTTCCGGTCCAGTGAAAATAAACATTTGCAAGTCTGTCCTGTCTGCCTATGAACAAACTCATTCCAAACGTCCAAGTATCCAAGAATAGAACGCGCCACAGGAAAGTCATTGTCTGACTTCTTGTCAGTTATCCCGTATCATTTACTTTAAAATACTTAATGTTGATAAAATTGAATCTAAAATGATTGTTAATGCTTAATTGTGGATTAGTTGGTTTCATATTCCTAGAAACAGATGCATTTCAGTCGAACTGTTTGACTATCAGGGAATCATTATGTAGTTGGATTGTGTCTCAGGTCGGTGCTAGGAATTGACCAGATCCATCCCCCCTTCTCACATGAAAGGGTAAATGTCAGAATCTTTTTAGATTCTTATGTTTAAATTTCATTATATCAATAAACTACTTGTGACAATGATGGATGGATTATCGCCAAGGCTCATGGCTTTCTTTATTGAATTCTTTCAGGGCAGATAATCCATCCTTCCTTGTCACTTGTGTATCCGTGATGGTTGGGGTTAGAATTGATCTTCAGCAACCCATGCTTGTTGTAAGAGGCGGCTAACGGGATCGGGTGGTCAGACTCGCTGTTGACATGTCACCTGTTCCCAATTGCGCAGATCGATGCTCATGCTGTTGATCACTAGATTGTCTGGTCCAGACTTGATTATTTACAGACCGCCGCCATATAGCTGGAATATTGCTGAGTGCGGTGTAAAAATAAACTCACTCACTGCTTGTTGCTTGTAAATTATTGTCTGTGTCATGTCGACAGGAATCCAGGGTTGAATGAGGAGGTCAGTAGGTCAGTAAGGTGCCACAGCTAGGAACCATGATTGTGGGTGGAATTCCTTGTTTGCCCAGATTTTGTGTCAAAACAGGGAGTTTTCCTGTGTTATCTGCATCACTCCGGGCTTTCCTCCCATGTCAAGTTTACATGCAGCAAGACTACTGTTCAGTTCAAACTGAGACTCACTCACTCACTCACTCACTCACTCACTCACTCACTCACTCACTCACTCACTCACTCACTCACTCACTCACTCACTCACTCACTCACTCACTCACTCACTCACTCACTCACTCACTCTTGCAGACGCGGTTCATGGAGCGTCACCGTAAGATGATGGACAACTTCATGGCTGACCGGACCCAGGAGGCCGAGGAGCTGAAAGCCAAACAGGAGGCGGAACTTCAGCAGCTGAAGGACCACCTCATCTCACAAAGGGATGCTGAAGTTGATCAGCTCAAAGAACAACATGCTGAAGAACTGGAGAAAGCCACACGGTTAAACACAGAATCTGATACTAAGAATGGTGATGATGAGAGGAAGACACAAGATGGAGAGAAGGATGAAACTGATGGAGAGACGGAGGGACACACTGAGCTGATAGAGAGACACAAACAAGAGCTGGAGGAAGTGGAAAATCAATGGAAGAAGAAACTTGAAGGTAGGTGGTGGTGTTTTTGATTGTTGCATTACCAGTTGTACGAACACATTTTAATCTCTGGTTGGTGACGTAATGTTTGAATGTTTTAGGTCTTCTGGGTACCATATATCATTTGTGAGTTGTTGAAAGGATGCGAGTGAGGATTGCGCCTCTTGCCTGACTAAATGAATAGTTGCTTGTACTATCAGCCACTGGTTTGTTTGTCCAGTACATGAGTATTTACCAGGTACTGTCATACTGTAGTTCTATTTCTAACTCAGTCTATTTGCTTGGCAAGCAGAACTCCTGATGGTATATAATTCTTTTGCAAGTGACAGTGTTCAGCAGTGAATGGGTACCTGGTAGGACGTGATGGTAGTGGGTCTGTTATCCTTCTAGTGGCTCATAGGGTGTGTTCTCCAAAGATTAACCCATTGTCTGAAGTCCGATGTCACCCGGGGGATGTTGACGTGTACATAATCTGATGTCATGTTCTGCCAGAGCTGAAGGCTGCCCATGAGGATGAGCTGTCTGCTGCTGCCCTGGACACAGAAGCGGTCAAGGCTGAGTTGGAGACTGCCCACCAAAGGGAGCTGCAAGACCGGGAGACACGTCTGTCTGAGTCACACCAGGCTGAGTTAGAAAAGCTCCAACGCCAGATTGACGAGCTGGTCAGACAACAGGTAGTGTGTTTGCATTTATTAAACTGGAAGTTGGAACAATGACCTATACAATACCCTAAATACTGAAATATAACAATGTTCTTTTAAAGGATTAGTAAGAAAATGTTTGTTTCTGTGTCAACATACACAGGTGATTCGTCTCGATGCTTACAAATCTGCCCAGACTTCAACAATTTCATGCAGAAAATGTCTGAAAGCCAGAGCATAATGCGTGGACTTGCTATAGTGGTGATTCAGTGACTTTAGGGAGTGACTTCACTGAGAGATTTCACTGAGAGACTTTATAGAGTTGAAAGCAGTGTTATTCCCTCATGTCCCGTTTTCCCTCAGACTGACCAGAGCTCTGTCCAGCGCCAGGAATCCCTTGACCAGGACGACCAGAGTGAGAGACTGAGGGAGGCCATGAGAGAAGTATCAGAGGTAGTCCTACCTGCTCAGACAACGCCACTTGTGAGTGGAAAATTCTTCATCGTGTTTAATGGCTTGTGTGTCAGTCACACACTTAACAGCTCTGTCAAAGACCAGAAATAGTTTTTGAAGACTCAGACATCTGAGTTGTTGTCTCTCTTCTTTCTACAAGGCGTCCGTCCAATGGACAGTAAAGAAGCCTAGAGGTTAAAGTGTTTGCTGTGAAGCTGAAAGGCTTGGTTTGATTCACCACTTTAGTTAATTGTGTGAAGCCCATTTCTGGTGTCCCCCACTTTGATATTGCTGGAATATTGCTGGAATATTGCTGAAAGCAGCATAGATCTTTTAAAAAGTATTATTTAAGATATAAGTTTTAGTGGGTTTGGTAAGATGCCTTTCATTTCTGCAGCTGAGTGCGACAGATCTTGACTCAACCGTGGAGAGTGAGGTGTCTGGTGCTGAGGGGGACTTCTTGATGAAGAGCACCCCCAGGGACCCAGCTTCCGAGGTGAGCAGGGGCAGCACCCCAGACGAGATGCTGGCCACGCGGTCTTTTGCTGAAGTTGTGCGGGGGATTCCCCCGATTGTGTCAGTGGAAGAGATGAGGGAAAAAGAGGAAAAGATCCTTCAGGTGAGAAGAATCAAGTGCATCCTTGTTTGTCTGAACCCTGTTAGTGCAGAGGGTCTAAACCCTGATAGTCTGAACCCTCTTAGTGCAGACCCTGTTAGTCTAAACCTACTTATTGCAGACCATATTGGTCTGAACCCTGTTAGTGCAGACCCTGTTAGTCTGAACCCTGTTAGTGTGGCCAGACCCTGTTAGTGCAGACCCTGTTAGAACCCTGAACCAGACCCTGTTGTTAGTGCAGACCCTATGTTAGTGAACCCTGTTAGTGCAGACCCTGTTAGTCTGAACCCTGTTAGTGCAGACCCTATTGGTCTGAACCCTGTTAGTGCAGACCCTGTTAGTCTGAACCCTGTTAGTGCAGACCCTATTGGTCTGAACCCTGTTAGTGCAGACCCTATTAGTCTGAACCCTGTTAGTGCAGACCCTATTGGTCTGAACCCTGTTAGTGCAGACCCTATTAGTCTGAACCCTGTTAGTGCAGACCCTATTGTCTGAACCCTGTTAGTGCAGACCCTATTGGTCTGAACCCTGTTAGTGCAGACCCTGTTAGTCTGAACCCTGTTAGTGCAGACCCTATTGGTCTGAACCCTGTTAGTGCAGACCCTGTTAGTCTGAACCCTGTTAGTGCAGACCCTATTGGTCTGAACCCTGTTAATGCAGACCCTATTAGTCTGAACCCTGTTAGTGCAGACCCTATTGGTCTGAACCCTGTTAGTGCAGACCCTGTTAGTCTGAACCCTGTTAGTGCAAACCCTATTGATCTGAACCCTGTTAGTGCAGACCCTATTAGTCTGAATCCTGTTGACCCGTGAAGATCCGGGGTAGAATAGGTCTTCAGCAACCCATGTGCTTGCCATAAAAAGTCGACTATCTTGTCGTAAGAGGCGACTAACGGGATCGGGTGGTCAGTTTCGCTGACTTGGTTGACACATGTCATCGGTTCCCAATTGCGCAGATCGATGCTCATGCTGTTGATCACTGGATTGTCTGGTCCAGACTCGATTATTTACAGACCGCCGCCATATAGCTGGAATATTGCTGAGTGCGGCGTAAAACTAAACTCACTCACTCACTGAATCCTGTTAGTGCAGACCCTATTAGTCTGAACCCTGTTAGTGCAGACCCTGTTAGTCTGAACCCTGTTAGTGCAGACCCTGTTAGTCTGAACCCGGTTAGTGCAGACCCTGTTAGTCTGAACCCGGTTAGTGCAGACCCTGTTAGTCTGAACCCTGTTAGTGCATACCCTATTAGTCTGAACCCTGTTAGTCTGAACCCGGTTAGTGCAGACCCTGTTGGTCTGAACCCTGTTAGTGCAGATCCTGTTGGTCTGAACCTGGTTACTGCAGACCCTGTTGGTCTGAACCCTGTCTTGCAACAAGCAGTAGTATGAGTAGTATGATCAGCAACTACTAAGGATCAGAGAGTGTATTGTACTGCTTCAGCTGGAGGAGGAGGTGAGAGAGTTGCGGTCGCGACTGGAGACTGCAGAGACTGAGGAGCAGACACTGACTGGGAGGAGAGCTCGGGAGGCGGAGGAGGAAGGCAACTTGGTCATGATGCTCCGGGGCGACCTGGACAGGATTAGTGCAGAAAGGTTTGTAGTCTCTTCATCAGAAGCACGCTACACACAGCATCTCTTATACTTTCTCTCGTAATGTCAATAAGTTTGCTGGAATCACACAAACTTTTGTTGATCATATCAAATTTTGAAGGGGCATTCCTCTGTCATTTTCAGAACTTGCATACAGTGGGATCAGTTAAAATAGTCAATATCAGCAAACTGATCTGAAACCCAGAACTATCCTGTTTCTCACTTGAGCTAATGTTCTGAAGTTATACTGTCGTTGGACATAGCCACTGATCACTCGAAACCCACTACTGTGGAATAGGCTGGTTTAGGCCTCTATCATCACACTGATCCAGGCACTCAGCCATCTTTCCCCTCTTGTTATATGTGAACATTGTGATGCTTCTCTTTAGGGATGCAGTACAAAATGCCAATGACCGTCTGCTCCAAGTACTGACAGATTCTGTCAAGAATTATGTGTCAGTTGAAGACATCATTAACAAGAAACTGACACGACTGGTCAACCAGTCAGGAACGAGGTCAAGGCCATCCAGTGGAACACCTCGGGAAGACAGACGGGGCTCCGATGCTGATGTGCATAGAGAAAGTCGAGGACATGAATTTGGAGCAAGAGCTCCGTCACCTAGAGGTGACAGAGGTGAGTCTCACAGTCCCAAGGTCATCTTAGTAATCTCTCTGTTGTCTCAATCTGATCATAGCACTTTCCGTAACTCCACAGACACAGCTTTTCACTACAGTCAACTGTAATATAGCTGAGACATCCATGACTGTATGGTCTGAATCAGCTCGGACTTAGTAGTGTTAGCTGAACTACAGCAGCAGGCCGCCCCATGTTGTAGTTAATACATTGGTAATCTTGTTCAGTGTTAGCTGAACTACAGCAGCAGGCCGCCCCATGTTGTAGTTAATACATTGGTAATCTTGTTCAGTGTTAGCTGAACTACAGCAGCAAGCCGCCCCATGTTGTAGTTAATACATTGGTAATCTTGTTCAGTGTTAGCTGAACTACAGCAGCAGGCCGCCCCATGTTGTAGTTAATACATTGGTAATCTTGTTCAGTGTTAGCTGAACTACAGCAGCAGGCCGCCCCATGTTGTAGTTAATACATTGGTAATCTTGTTCAGTGTTAGCTGAACTACAGCAGCAGGCCGCCCCATGTTGTAGTTAATACATTGGTAATCTTGTTCAGTGTTAGCTGAACTACAGCAGCAGGCAGCCCCCCATGTTGTAGTTAATACATTGGTAATCTTGTTCAGTGTTAGCTGAACTACAGCAACAGGCAGCAGCCCATGTTGTAGTTAATACATTGGTAATCTTGTTCAGTGTTAGCTGAACTACAGCAACAAGCCGCCCATGTTGTAGTTAATACATTGGTAATCTTGTTCAGTGTTAGCTGAACTACAGCAACAGGCCGCCCATGTTGTAGTTAATACATTGGTAATCTTGTTCAGTGTTAGCTGAACTACAGCAACCCAGGTGTACCCCATGTTGCTGAACTACGAAGCAGGCCTGTATGTTAATACATTGGTAATCTTGTTCAGTGTTAGCTGAACTACAGCAACAGGCAGCCCCATGTTGTAGTTAATACATTGGTAATCTTGTTCAGTGTTAGCTGACCTACAGCAACAGGCAGCCCATGTTGTAGTTAATACATTGGTAATCTTGTTCAGTGTTAGCTGAACTACAGCAGCAGGTCAGCCCATGTTGTAGTTAATACCTTGGTAATCTTGTTCAGTGTTAGCTGAACTACAGCAACAAACCGCCCATGTTGTAGTTAATACATTGGTAATCTTGTTCAGTGTTAGCTGAACTACAGCAGCAGGCAGCCCATGTTGTAGTTAATACATTGGTAATCTTGTTCAGTGTTAGCTGAACTACAGCAGCAGGCCGCCCCATGTTGTAGTTAATACATTGGTAATCTTGTTCAGTGTTAGCTGAACTACAGCAGCAGGCCGCCCCATGTTGTAGTTAATACATTGGTAATCTTGTTCAGTGTTAGCTGAACTACAGCAGCAGGCCGCCCCATGTTGTAGTTAATACATTGGTAATCTTGTTCAGCCGACACGAGCCAGGACAGCACCGCTCTGGAGGAAACGAGCATCCTGTCCAGCAACACCGACGAGGGGCTGGACCTGTCCCAGAGACTCACGGAGAGCATCTTCACAGGCCCGGACCTTGATGCGGAGGGAGAGGAGATTCTATCAGGTTTGGAATGTTTTGCAACTTTGATCTATGCTGTCCTGTGTTGTAGAGACTTGTTGATTAATATTTATCTTGCTTACATTATGATGCTTGGGCTGCCTTGTTAAAGCGAATGTGGTCACTTTGAAGGCTTCTTCCCACTGCACTGGGAAAAAGAATATTTTTTATCCAGTGTGATGGAATATTGCTTGAAGTATCATCTAACTACAGTCTGAGACATTAGTCTAAGTCTAGCAAAAGTCTGTTTGTCTTCTAATTACTTCATTGATGACGTATCTTGCCATGATTCTACTTAGAATGGATCCAAGAGCCAAATTTGGGCTCATAGTCTGAAATGATGTTGGCCCTGACTGTAACCACAATTGATTTACTCAGAGGTGCAGAAACCCCATAGTTCTTACTACTGAATTTCTTACTACTGAAGAACATTGTTCCTTTTTGCCAGATGCCCGTGGCAGGTTGCAGACCTCGGTTCACAACCTGCTGGAGATGATCGAGAAAACAACACAGCAGTTGATGGAGGCCAAGCATACCCAGCAGGAGCTGGTGGACACACTGGCCACTCGCAGCACCGAGGCCGAGGTCCTGCAGGCTCGCTGCACCGACATTGATGACCGGCTGCGAGAGGAGGTCGCCGCCAAGGAGTACCTGTCCCTGGAGCTACACAAGGCAGAAGGTGCGGGGTGGGAAGGGTTGACCTGGGCGAATGGATGGGGGTGGGGATCAGATGTGGGGCAATGCTTTGTGGAGTCGGGGTGTGGGTGGGCTGTGTGCCTGTGTAATTTTGGGCTGTTTATTCTGGGTGTGAGTGTATGTCGTCTGTTGGTACAATGTTGATGAGAATGTGTAACATTGGTATGATGTTGACATAGAATACTCGGCTAGGGGGGGGAATTGGATGTTGGGAAAGGTATCAGTCCCTGGAGCTGCTCATGTTTAGAGGTGGGAGGTACGAAGAAGGGTTTGGAAGAAGGGTTTGGAGGAAGGAAGAAGGGGTAGGTGTTGAGGTAGGTGTGAAGGTGTGATGTTTGCTGGGGTTGGGGGTGTATGTTAGGGAGGGGCAGGTGATGGAGTATTTGGTGAGAATGTGGTTCCTGTAGCCGCACAAGTTTGGGGTCGGAGGTATGAGGAAGGGGTGGGATGTGTTGGGGTGGAGTGTTTGGTATCATCAGTCTTCCAGGTAGGTGTACAATTGGATGGACATTTAGAAAAATGGTAGGGTGCCTGACAGTATAAGTCCAAGATGAAATTTTAGCAAGGGATAGTGTCCTATTCTCACGATCAGTGGCTAAAGTCTTGCTCTACTGACTACTGTGTCTGTGTACATGTGAGGTTCTGTTGTCCAGGGTTGATATCAGGATATGCCACGGAGAGGGACGCGCTGGAGCAGAGGCTGGAGTCTCTGGAGGAACAACGGCAAGGACTTGCCCTTGACCTTGAGACCACACGTAACAAGCTGCAGGAGTTCCAGAACTCCCACCACGAGATCCAGTCCCGACAGGCGTCTGTTGATCGACAGGAACAGATCCTACGAGAAAACGTCGGCCAGGAGACTCAAGGTTTCCGTGACTACAAATTCCTTCTTGTGCCCTTTGGTGTCTTTGTTGGTGCTTACCTCTTACGTGATTGGCTGCAAATGGCCAATGACTTTTAAAGTTGTGAACTTTGAACTTTTGGTGTGAAGATGCCTGATCGATGATGATAAGGTGTTTATACATAATATATCATGTAGCATCTCTTGTCACAGAAACATGGTGGACTTGCCATAATTGCAAAAACAGTTTATTTAAAATTTTCTTTTGTTGTGTAATCAGTGAGTACTTGGTAGCTACAGGTGCACGTGTACTAGTTTTATTGCTGAACATATCGTTGTTGATTATAGTTATTCATGTAGATATACACTGTTTGCGGGTTTTAGTTGACTGGGATTTAACTGGCCGCCCCCACATTGGTCAATATTTTTGCATTTGTTGCACACAGATGGTTGTTTGTGACTTCTATTTTATGACATTTTATTGCAATATGTGTTATATTTTTGATGACTATTTATCATTTACTACTGTTGACAATATTTAATGTTGGAAAGCTTTACACAGCATTACGTCTATTTACAATGTCAATACTTGTTATTTGTTCCTTGTATTGCATAGTCTACAAGTCAGTGATATTTAACAATCAAAATAGAGACAATTTTGAGTTAACTTACAACAGATCCATATTCCCGTTTCCATGGTAACTGTAGAACTTCACTTTCGTGGTGTTGGAGAGGTCAATAAAGATTAAAATGGCATACAATTTGTGTGATTTCTGAAGGAAGTAAGCGATAGGTTCGATGCGAAAGAGTAAACAAATTATCACTTGGGAAGAAACCGGCTGACCACAGCCTTGTATAGAGAATACCCGAGTAGGACGGCTGGGACCTGCAGACACGTAACACAGGCTAATCGTTGAAAGGGGACAATATAACACTTTAACAGTAACTTGTAGTTTGGTTCAAGGTGATCAGTATGTCATATCAGACCCAAAGACTGGTGATTTGCTTCCTTAAATGACATTGCCATTAACACAACTATTCCAAGATTAGTAATTAACATGTGGACAGGAGGGTTCCACAGCTTGTTGTAGCTGTCTGTATCAGAGCTTCGCAGGGTGGCTTCACCAGTCACTTGGGCAAGTAGGAAAGTAGCATCACATGCCCTGACAAACACTTACCAGCCAATACGCTGTTGTAGTAGCACCAACTCTCTGGTTGGTTGTGACAGGGTATGTATTAAACATTGACTGAGAGCTTAGCTCAGCATTCCAGAACTATCAGCATCTGTGTGATGTTGTCATTCAGGAGGATGTGGTTCTCGGATATTTCATTTGCCTGCAGGGTCGTTACCACATATACTTGTGTGGCCCCATGGTAACTGTGCCTCCTCCATCAGGCCAGATTGGACACTGCTCTGTGGCTGCCACTCTTGTTCAGACTCTACACAGGACAAATGCAGTAGTTGTATCTTGTAATTCAGTTTGCAGACTTTTGTTTTTAGAATTTTAGAAACTTTCAGTCGAGTTCATTGGTTGCTGTGGTGATGACAGGATCAAAGGTCAGAGGTAAGGGTTGAGGGTCATTTCAAGGTCACTGTATGGCATGTCTAAGACAAAACTTTCCTCCTTTCTCTCCAGATCTTCATTAGGATTTATTGGGTTATATTCTCTAAGGCCGATGTGGCTCAAAGACTCTCATGTTTTAGTAACTCAGATTACATCTGGTAATTGGCAAACCACCATCTGAGCTGCACCCTGACTCAGCTCTTTGAGCGCACTCAGTGATGAAGATGCACAATACAATTATTGTCGTTTACTTTTGTTGCCCGGTATCAGAAACAAAGCCCCACTAACAACTCACCACAGCTCTTGTCTTGTTCTGAGTATATTCCCAAGTGGTGACTGATTTTGACAAAACCCTGAGGTTCCTGTTTGGAGAGAGAGTGGGTGAAAGGTTTGACTTGGAGACACTGTGCAGGTTTATTTTTGCTGCTTATAAGGCAATTAGCTGCTGCACTAGCTGATGCAAACATAGAATTTGCTTTTAGTTGCTCCTTTGGTTCATGTCCATCTACAGAATCCTGTTCTTACTTCTTCATCACATGTAAACTGCACCTTCATTTTCATGCAGACCCTTAAATTAAATGTAACTGTTTGATAATCATGGAACTTGAAATGACAGTTCAATCTCTTGCACTCTAAAACCGAAAAAGATATTTTAAAAATAGATTGTGTTGTTTCAAACTGAAGTTTATAACTGATTTAGCGATGACATTATCTCCCCAGGAAATGGCCAGTGTAATCAGCTTCTTGCCTTGTACCCTTTCACCCCTGTATCTGCCCCTGGTGACGGTGCACTCGACAACATATAACTTTCCGGGCTTGTCAAAATGTCCAGATATTTGGATTTGCATATAATTGCCTTGTATTACCATCTAGTTTACTTTTGAACAGAGAATTTGGACTAACGTTGAAATGTCAAGAAGTTCACAATAGCAATGCAACTGAAATCTGGTTAGAGTTATCCCCCCTTCAGGGACCAGGATATAGGGAATCAGGGAAAATGAGACGAATGTTCAGTAGTTCACTTCAGCTTGATTTGTCAACGTTCTGTGGAGGATATTCCTGATACTAAGGCTGTGGCTGAGTCTACTCTTTTTCTGGAAATTATCTTGAGCTCTTAAAATCTTGTCTCTTGTTAAGTGCCTTGCAAGCAGGTCAGTTTCATCTGACTGTCAGGTGTGTAGGACGTCTTGGTAGACAGTTGAGCTCATTAATGTTGTTAGACTGTGTGAACATTTTAGACTTATTTGTTTTTTGCTTGTATGAGTTGGGCAGCTGTAGGCCAAGTGTGTTTATTCATCTCACTTATAGTTTGGTATTATTTCTACAGGGTTGAAATTCAGGAGTTCTGTATTTTTCTTGCATCTTATTTCAAAAATGGTGTCAAACATATACTTTACATTCTGTGATTTATTAGGTGTTTTGAGGCGTTTTGGATTTTCTTCCAGAGTATCAGTTGGTGACTTTTAGATAGTTTTAGTGTAGTATTGTTGGTGTAGTTGTGGGCTGTTCCAGTATGGTATGGTGAAGGGTTCTGTTACAGTGCACCTTCAGCTAATCCAACCTCACACACAGTGCTGGAGTGTTTGTTCTTGTTAACATATTAAGATGTATCACTCAAGGGGTAAGCACCAACATATATACTGAGATTGTATTTTATGTTATGTATACATTTTATATATGTGCATTGTTATTTTGAATTTGTTTGTTAAAATTTAGCATGGAGATACTGTTTGCAATTTTAAATAGTAATATTGAATGGTTTGGAAAAATAATATTTGAACAATTTTGGAATGGGGCCATATGTTTAATTGAGCATTTTTTGGTTGCTTGGAGTAAAGAGCTCAACTTTGCTTTTTATTTGTATATTAGAAATTGATGTACAATTATATGATATGATCTAAATTGAAAATTCAAAATATGATTTGTACTATCAAAACATTCATTGGGTGGACTGTTTGTAATTTTAGTGTAATGATATTATGTGTTATATTTTATGCAAAGTTATTATTTTTTCCCCATATATTCCTCTCAATAACCTGTGGCATATATCCTCCTAAGACATTGTGTGTTTTGGGAACCAGTGTTAACCCTAAAGCCTCTCCTGGGTTCCTGATGCCAGATATAAATATTCACTCAACTTCCCGTCCTGTTCACTGAAGCACTAGCACACAGTTATATCATACCATAGACCTATCTATGGCATCTGCATGCTTGTACTCAGAGTAGCTGCATTTAGTATTAATAAATAGGGACTTAGTACATACCCTTGTTTAACTCAAGTGTTGACCCCAGCATTAATAGTTTGCTTGCTTTGCATGAATCTGCTTGTGTTTGCATGTAATGCTTGTTGAGGATACCTCTAACCCAGCTACATGAATCTGCTTGTGTTTGCATGTAATGCTTGTTGAGGATACCTCTAACCCAGCTACATGAATCAGCTTGTGTTTGCATGTAATGCTTGTTGAATGCTTGTTGTGTTTGCATGTAATGCTTGTTGATACCTCTAACCCAGCTACATGAATCAGCTTGTGTTTGCATGTAATGCTTGTTGAGGATACCTCTAACCCAGCTGCATGATGTATATTGTATCTAGGCATGGTTGGAAGTGTGTATCATATAATCAGTACTTTACTTGGAATTCTAAACTATCAAGTACTAATTTTACATGTCATTGACAAAAGAGAAATACTAATAATCTGCAGTAAAGTATTTTAGTGACATCACTGTTGTGTCGAAATGATGACTATCAGTGGAATAAAGCTGTTACTTCCAGACAACTGTAACCTCGACATCCATGTTTCACACAACAGTGTTTGTCTACAGTATAGTATATAGTTTGTTGTATTTATTTTAGGTATGATCTGTTTCTACGAAGTGATCAAATCAATAATCGACTTGATGGTAATATTTGTATGATACAAATTTTATGCTTGTCAGTAAATGCTCCAATATGCTTTTCTGAAATATGGACTTGTATATCATAGAGATAGACTTCCTTGAGTCACCCTTATTTAATATTCATAGTGGTCATCACTTTTAACTTTGGGGTCATAGAATTGATTTTCCTTCTGGAATCTCCTGATCTTCAGCATAAAGGAGGATAGTTTCAATACAACTCATCAAGGGATTATTAATTTGATCACTTCTGGCTCATCATTAGTAGCACAGTTTGTTTCTGATTGTCTTCATGCATGATTGCTTTTCAAATACAGCGACAGTCTCGATGCCCACCGAGTTGTCCGACACTCCAACAGGTGGGTTTACACTGGCAGTTGTTAGGAAAACAGTATTTATTTTTGTGTTTCACGTAACCATCACGTCAACAGATGTAATTGGCCAAAGATAAGAAAGATATATAGATTTAAACACTGTTAAATTTACTTAAAGATTTGCAAATGGATTTTCAGAGAAATCTTTCAATGCAGGAAATGAAGCCATCCAAGGGGAATAACTCTTATTTCCTCAGATTTTGTTATGATCACTTTAAAAATTTGGGAGAAGTTTGTGACATATTGTTTGAAGTCAGGAGTAGAGTGGTACAGATTTGGGTGATGAGAAACACCAAGGAGACGATCAGTGTTGTTCCTGTGACTGGGATTATGCAACAGTGGGGTGGGATGTATGGTTTTGCCGTATCAATAATACTACAGGAATATCATTTGGGAAGTGGTGGGAGGGCAGGTGTTCATTGCTTTCTGTGTAGTATTTGAGAACTGACGGAAACAAATTTTGAAAAAAAATATGAGGTTAGTAATTTCAGGGAATTTCTTGTGTTTTTTTATTAGAGTATAGGATGATAGATGTTTAAATATAATCATATATGACATGTTAGGCCTTATGGTCCTAGGTCTCATGTACATCAATTCATCCATCCATCCATCCATCCATCCATCCATCCGTGTTCTGTCTCCATTGTCTGCCAGCATGTCAAGTCCATGCAAACTTTAACACCTGCATATGGCTTTATAACAGTTTTGTATTGACAGGTAGACCAGGTGCTATAGCTCTTGTATATTCATCTATACACAGGTAGATCAGGTGCTATAATTCTTGTATATATTTATCTATACACAGGTAGATCAGGTGCTATAATTCTTGTATATTCATCTATACACAGGTAGATCAGGTGCTATAATTCTTGTACATTCATCTATACACAGGTAGACAGGTGCTATAATTCTTGTACATTCATCTGTAGACAGGTAGATCAGATGCTATAATTCTTGTACATTCATCTGTAGACAGGTAGACCAGATGCTATAGCTCTTGTATATTCATCTATACACAGGTAGATCAGGTGCTATAATTCTTGTACATTCATCTGTAGACAGGTAGACCAGATGCTATAGCTCTTGTATATTCATCTATACACAGGTAGACCAGATGCTATAGCTCTTGTACATTCATCTGTAGACAGGTAGACCAGGTGCTATAGTAGTTTCTTGTACATTCATCTGTAGACAGGTAGACCAGGTGCTATAGTAGTTTCTTGTACATTCATCTGTAGACAGGTAGACCAGGTGCTATAGTAGTTTCTTGTACATTCATCTGTAGACAGGTAGACCAGGTGCTATAGTAGTTTCTTGTACATTCATCTGTAGACAGGTAGACCAGGTGCTATAGTAGTTTCTTGTACATTCATCTGTAGACAGGTAGACCAGGTGCTATAGTAGTTTCTTGTACGTTCATCTGTATAGTATAGTAGTTTCTTGTACATTCATCTGCTTGTAGGTACATTCATCTGTAGACAGGTAGATCAGGTGCTATAGTAGTTTCTTGTACATTCATCTGTAGACAGGTAGATCAGGTGCTTTCTTGTACATATCTGTAGTTTCTTGTATATTCAGGTGCTGTACATTCATCTATACACAGGTAGATCAGGTGCTATAATAGTTTCTTGTACATTCATCTGTAGACAGGTAGATCAGGTGCTATAGTAGTTTCTTGTACATTCATCTGTAGACAGGTAGACCAGGTGCTATAGTAGTTTCTTGTACATTCATCTATACACAGGTAGATCAGGTGCTATAGTAGTTTCTTGTACATTCATCTGTAGACAGGTAGACCAGGTGCTATAGTAGTTTTTGTACATTCATCTATACACAGGTAGACCAGGTGCTATAGTAGTTTCTTGTACATTCATCTGTAGACAGGTAGACCAGGTGCTATAGTAGTTTCTTGTACATTCATCTATACACAGGTAGATCAGGTGCTATAGTAGTTTCTTGTACATTCATCTGTAGACAGGTAGACCAGGTGCTATAGTAGTTTCTTGTACATTCATCTATACACAGGTAGACCAGGTGCTATAGTAGTTTCTTGTACATTCATCTATAGAAGCATATCAGAGCTTGAATCTGGGACACATGCTTTGTTCCTGTTAGATTTAGGGTAGTGCTACAATTGACCAGGTGCTGCATATATTTTTAGAACAGTTTTCTTAATATCAGTGTACCAAATTTGTTTACAAGACTAGGCATATTGTATTGAAAAAAGACATTAAACTATGCTTATCAGGTTATATTTTATACATGTATATTTAATGTCAACTTTGGTATGAATATTGTAGCATATACATCTTAGATTTGCTCTGTGTCTCTGTGAACATTACATGCAGTAATGATTGTACTGTAATCTCAGTGTACAGTGTGTAGACCTATAGGTAGAGCATACAGGAGGGAGGGTGGTGATGATTGTACTGTAATCTCAGTGTACAGTGTGTAGACCTATAGGTAGAGCATACAGGAGGGAGGGTGGTGATGATTGTACTGTAATCTCAGTGTACAGTGTGTAGACCTAGAGGTAGAGCATACAGGAGGGAGGGAGGGTGGTGATGATTGTACTGTAATCTCAGTGTACAGTGTGTAGACCTAGAGGTAGAGCATACAGGAGGGAGGGTGGTGATGATTGTACTGTAATCTCAGTGCACAGTGTGTAGACCTAGAGGTAGAGCATACAGGAGGGAGGGAGGGTGGTGATGATTGTACTGTAATCTCAGTGTACAGTGTGTAGACCTAGAGGTAGAGCATACAGGAGGGAGGGAGGGTGGTGATGATTGTACTGTAATCTCAGTGTACAGTGTGTAGACCTAGAGGTAGAGCATACAAGAGGGAGGGTGGTGATGATTGTACTGTAATCTCAGTGTACAGTATGTAGACCTAGAGGTAGAGCATACAAGAGGGAGGGAGGGTGGTGATGATTGTACTGTAATCTCAGTGTACAGTGTGTAGACCTAGAGGTAGAGCAAACAGGAGGGAGGGAGGGTGGTGATGATTGTACTGTAATCTCAGTGTACAGTGTGTAGACCTAGAGGTAGAGCATACAGGAGGGAGAGTGGTGATGTTGCATGCCGCCTGTGTGCTGTGTTTGTGCTTGCAGTGTTGTGTTATGTCCCAATTTGCACCCACACCCATCTACACCCACACCCATCTGCACATTGCCATTTAAGCTGAGTGTCACTAAACATTTGAAGTGAACATTGGAGTCCTAAGTTCGAAAGGACTAGACTTGACAGGCCATTGTGACATTCGACATGAAAGCGTTGACAAGGCTGTTGTGACATTCGACATGAGAGAGTTGACATGGCTGTTGTGACATTAGACATGAGAGAGGGCTACAGATAAGGGGCGTACAGGCATAATGTACCCATCAAAATCAATTAAGTACGACATAATATAAGATTTCAAGCGTATCGTGTACGCACATAAATACCTTTGTACGTCTAACATTTAATTTTCGTGCGTATCGTGCAAATGGAAATCTATTTCGGATAAATACTTGTCAAGTTTCTTTTGCGAAACACGATTTGACACATGAGGAAACCCCGACAGTAGGAATCCCTTGCGTTGCCATCCAACGATATGCGTCACTATTTTTCGATTGGCTAAAAACTACACTGTTCCTAATTATATATCCAGTGACATTAGACATGAGAGAGTTGACAAGGCTGTTGTGACATTAGACATGAGAGAGTTGACAAGGCTGTTGTGACATTAGACATGAGAGAGTTGACAGGGCTGTTGTGACATTAGACATGAGAGAGTTGACAAGGCTGTTGTGACATTAGACATGGGAGAGTTGACATGGCTGTTGTGACATTAGACATGAGAGAGTTGACATGGCTGTTGTGACATTAGACATGTTAGAGTTGACATGGCTGTTGTGACATTAGACATGTTAGAGTTGACAAGGCTGTTGTGACATTAGACATGTGAGAGTTGACAAGGCTGTTGTGACATTAGACATGAGAGAGTTGACATGGCTGTTGTGACATTAGACATGTTAGAGTTGACATGGCTGTTGTGACATTAGACATGTGAGAGTTGACAAGGCTGTTGTGACATTAGACATGTGAGTTGAGTTGTTGTGACATTAGACATGTGAGAGAGACAAGGCTGTTGTGACATTAGACATGAGAGAGTTGACAAGGCTGTTGTGACATTAGACATGAGAGAGTTGACAAGGCTGTTGTGACATTAGACATGTGAGAGAGTTGACATGGCTGTTGTGACATTAGACATGAGAGAGTTGACAAGGCTGTTGTGACATTAGACATGAGAGAGTTGACAAGGCTGTTGTGACATTAGACATGTGAGAGTTGACATGGCTGTTGTGACATTAGACATGTTAGAGTTGACATGGCTGTTGTGACATTAGACATGTTAGAGAGTTGACAAGGCTGTTGTTGACATTAGACATTAGACATGTGAGAGTTGACAAGGCTGTTGTGACATTAGACATGTGAGAGTTGACATGGCTGTTGTGACATTAGACATGAGAGTTGACATGGCTGTGACATTAGACATGTGAGAGTTGACATGGCTGTTGTGACATTAGACATGTTAGAGTTGACAAGGCTGTTGTTACATTAGACATGAGAGAGTTGACAAGGCTGTTGTGACATTAGACATGTGAGAGTTGACATGGCTGTTGTGACATTAGACATGTGAGAGTTGACATGGCTGTTGTGACATTAGACATGTGAGAGTTGACAAGGCTGTTGTGACATTAGACATGTGAGAGTTGACAAGGCTGTTGTGACATTAGACATGGGAGAGTTGACAAGGCTGTTGTGACATTAGACATGTTAGAGTTGACATGGCTGTTGTGACATTAGACATGAGAGAGTTGACAAGGCTGTTGTGACATTAGACATGAGAGAGTTGACAAGGCTGTTGTTGTGACATTAGACATGAGAGAGTTGACATGGCTGTTGTGACATTAGACATGGGAGAGTTGACATGGCTGTTGTGACATTAGACATGTGAGAGTTGACAAGGCTGTTGTTGTGACATTAGACATGAGAGAGTTGACATGGCTGTTGTGACATTAGACATGGGAGAGTTGACATGGCTGTTGTGACATTAGACATGAGAGAGTTGACATGGCTGTTGTTGTGACATTAGACATGAGAGAGTTGACATGGCTGTTGTGACATTAGACATGGGAGAGTTGACATGGCTGTTGTGACATTAGACATGTGAGAGTTGACAAGGCTGTTGTTGTGACATTAGACATGAGAGTGTTGACATGGCTGTTGTGACATTAGACATGTTAGAGTTGACATGGTTGTTGTGACATTAGACATGTGAGAATTGAGAAGGCTGTTGTGACATTAGACATGAGAGAGTTGACAAGGCCATTGTGACATTAGACATGAGAGAGTTGACATGGCTGTTGTGACATTAGACATGAGAGAGTTGACATGGCTGTTGTGACATTAGACATGAGAGAGCTGACAGGGCTCACCATAACCATAACTCTTGTAGTTAAATATAGGCTTATGACAGTCTTAATGTTAAGATGTCCTCGTGAACGTGGTCCTGCTCCATACAGTTCACATTCTGATAATGACAAGAACTCAACACAGCTGGAGACACCACTAAATGTTGAATCCAACTGCGGTCTTTGACACGACAACAAAACACTTTAGCCAGTGTGCTGCCCAGCTCTTCTCGGTACAGAGACTGATGCCCTGATGTTTAGTATGATGTAGACTGCAGACTCTCTTACTTCTAAACTGTCTTTGTGAACATAGGTGTGCTTTATGAGGTTGACATTCTGATAATGGCTAGAAAACATCTAGTATGATGTAGACTGCAGACTCCCTTACTTCTAAACTGTCTTTGTGAACATAGGTGTGCTTTATGAGGTTGACATTCTGATAATGGCTAGAAAACATCTAGTATGATGTAGACTGCAGACTCCCTTACTTCTAAACTGTCTTTGTGAACATAGGTGTGCTTTATGAGGTTGACATTCTGATAATGGCAAGAAAACATCTAGTATGATGTAGACTTCGGACGTACTTGTAGAATTACTTCTAAGCTGTGAACATGAATGTGCTTTGAGACTGACATTCTGACGATGACAGGAACGCATTCAGTGTGATGTAGACTTTGGACTTTCTTGCTTGTCAGTATGAACATGGTTGTGATTGTGGTGTCTGCTACTAGCCCTGCTTCTGGAGGTGACCAGTCTGACCGTGCAGAGGCAGGAGCTGGAGAAACAGACCAGGCACCAGTTTGACCTGAGCCAGTCGCGGATCCAACAGCTGGAGCTTAGTCTGGAGGAGATGGAGCGGATCCATGAACAAGACATGGAGCTCAAGCGGGAAGAGATTGAGGACCTCCGCCTCCAGCTGGACAGTGTGGAGAGACAGCTGAAGGCCTCCAAACAGTTCCTGGCTGTAGGTGGACTTAAGTGTCTGTGATTGCTTCTGTTATCACCTGCGTATCGTCTCTCAGACAGTCTTACGGCTACCCTGTCTCAGTTGTCGTTATTGTGTAATACCACCTCCATTGACAAGATACTGAAGTGTCTGCCTGGAGAGTGGTTTGATTCCTGGATTGTTCTCACCTAGAGACTTTAAAACATGGCACTTCTTGTTACTGTTAAGGGGATGTAAAAAGACTGTTTGGCTTGGTGTTAGTATACTGTGGCAAAATGTGGTATCCTTTATGAACTGGGCCACATTGGTCCAGCTACATAAAACCACCATAAGTTCAGACGAGTACAAGCTACGTGACTATATATCCATGGTAATAATCAAGTGCAATAATCTTTAATGTTGCTCGTCCACTCAAGTTGTAGGTAGGGAGATTTCAGTCTCTGACAGTTAACATTGTTGTGCTGTGGACATATTCTAGCTTGGTTTCTCCCTGATGGTGAACACTTTGTGTACAGGAACAGTCTGGGGAGCGGGAACAGGAGCGCGAGGAGTACCAGCGCGAGGTGGAGCGGCTCCAGGACATGCTGCAGGACCACGACAAGAAGAAGAGTGCCCAGGGCAGGCTGCGTAGGGAGGTACGGACCTGTACATCGCCATCTCTCACGTCTTGACAATTCAGTCTCTTTGGACTGTGTGATGTGTTTGACCAGAGTTGTGTGCTGCCTGGCTGAAGCTGTGAGGTGTCTGACCAGGGGTGTGTGGTGTCTGGACAAATCTGTGAGGTGTTTGACCAGAGGTGTGAGATGTCTGGACGAAGCTGTAAGGTGTCTGATCAGAGGTGTGTAGTGTCTGACTGAAGCTGTGAGGTGTTTGACCAGAGGTGTGAGGTGTCTGACCAGAGGTGTGTGGTGTCTGGACGAAGCTGTGAGGTGTCTGGACGAAGTTGTGAGGTGTTTGACCAGAGGTGTGTAGTGTTTGACCAGAGGTGTGTGGTGTCTGGCTGAAGCTGTAAGGTGTCTGATCAGAGGTGTGTAGTGTCTGGACGAAGGTGTATGGTGTCTGGACGAAGCTGTAAGGTGTCTGATGAGAGGTGTGTAGTGTCTGACTGAAGCTCTGTGTTGCAGGTGCAGGACTTGTCTGAGCAGCTTCAGGACCGTCTGGCTGTGGAAGGGGAGCTAGATGAGCAGACGCGCAGATTACGTCTGGTTCTTCAGGACAAGGAGCTGACAGCCTCTGAACTGAAGGAGTGGGTGACCCAGCTTGAGAAGGAGGTGGATGAGAGAGCTGCCTTGGAGCATGAGCTGAAGCAGGTGGGTCCTCATCTTGAAGATAATTTTGAATGAATACTCAGTTATTATCCAGTACCAGGAAACCATATCTGATCACGTATTGATAGAATGGCTTTAGGTTTAGCTGGGATTGTCTGTACCTATGAAAGGTATCATGTGCTTGTGTAATTTTGAAATAATTCATTGTTTTTAACATAGTGTCTGATGATGGATGACAAATATTATCTCACCCTCTTGTCTTTGGATATTATGTATACCATCACACACAGATTGCAGTGAAAACACCCTCAGGTTCTTTGCTTCAGTAATCTACTTTTGTGGATCCTTATCCAGCTGTGAGCCTCAGAGTGATTCAGTGACAGAGTGCTGTGATAGAGCTGTGTCACATACATGCTCAACATTGATAGAGGTGTCTCTGATAAACATGTTACCATTAAACGTTGATTGGTATGATGTAGATACATGTTTTATCACACACTAACATCACTCTTGATGTTTATAGAAAATTGTGAGACTGGAGAACCAGTTGTCGTTGCGGACGGTGACAGATGAAACGTCCGACAGCTCACTCAACTCAACCGCCGAGCAGCCTCTCCCTAAACCTGCCGTGATGTCTCCGGACCGGCGCAGTCCACTCAGGAGACAGATCACCCTGGAGGAAGAACTGGAGAAGTCGAAGAAGACTCAAGAGGTAAAATGTTTATGCATTTTATCTGAGATTGGTAATGTACCTAAGCTTGATGTTGTTTGAAAGATGTTTTTGTGAGTGTAATGAGATGTCAGGACAATGATTACCCTTTGGCCCACATGTATGAGATGTGGTTGAGGTACATAGCCAAATAATGGAACAATATGCTTGCCATGCCAGTGAGGCAGTTAATATTAATCACATGGATAAACTATGTCATAGGTCCAGATGGATTCCCCACTACAAGTATCTCCAGTAGTGATATAATATAATATATAGATAGAATAATATAAGTTGTGTGATGCCAATGTGAAACACCTTGCACCGAGGGATGTTCTGATATGCTGCTGTGATATAAGGCTCTGTTAGCTGACTGACTAATGTTCTAGACTGCAGAAGTTGATCTATAGAATGATCCTAACACACATCAATATAACTGATATACTGTGTGAAACTGGTTCTGTCTGCCTGCAGGAACTTGTCCTGGAGAAGGATGTCCTCCAGCAGCAGGTGAGCCAGCAGCTCCTGCAGATCTCGGCGCTCAGGAACCAGCTGGACGACATGCGACACTACGGAGGAGAGGCACCCACGGCATCGCACACGTCACAGTTGAGGGAGAGGCTGGCGGTGGAGAGAGAGTCACTGGAGATGAAGGAGGAGGAGGTGGGTGGAGGGGGAGATTAACGATGTGATCTGTACCGGTGTGATGGGATGTGTACAGATGGGATGTGTATTGATGTGATACGTTACTGCAGTGTAATGATGTGATCAGGATGTGTACTGGTGTGTTAGGTGTATAGTAAACTGTATGTACTCTATGGTGATGGTGGTGATGATGATGATGATGCTGATGATGATGATGATGATGATGATGATGATGATGATGATGATGATGATGATGATGATGCAGGTGAGCAGCCTTCAAGAGCAGAAGGATGGACTGAAGCAGAAGCTACAGGAGAAGGAGACAGAAGTCCAGCGACTCCGGGCTGAGCTTGACGAGAGCACCCCACACCCCACTGCAGACCCAGCAACCAAGGCCAGGGAGGAGAATGCTCATCTCAAGGTATGTCTGTGGTATTTATAACCGTAAATGCTCGGCACTTGTTAGTTACTTAAAACATTCACTAGTTTGAAGGGACAGAGGAGGTATGTTCTCCTAATGTGGAAAGCCATAACATAGGTTAACTCAGATTCAGTGACTCACTCACTCACTGTGTGCAGGCGGAGGTGGAGAAGCTCCTTGGCCACCAGGAGGATTCAGTCGAGATTGGACTGCCACGTTTGGCACAAGACCTACTGGACGAGAAGAACCGGGAGATCGATGACTTATCGGAGCAGATCGGTCAGCTTCAGATGGCGCTGGAGGCGACCTCCATTATTGATGACAGTGTCCGAGAGGTGGGTGATTAGGTGAAAGATGTCCTAGCTGCAGGTTGTGTGGGAGGGAAGGAGTGAGAAGTGGGTACAGGGATGGAGAACCAAGATAGAAATACAGGCTTCTGTAGGGAGAGAAAATGGGAAAAGAAGGCAATAACCTCATTCTTTGCAGTTGGTTTGATCAGAGCAATATCTGTGTTGATTAACTATTGGGATCTTGGTTTGTTGTGAAGGTAATAATCAAGAAGAGTCCTCAGAAATCCTTCTCTTAGAGTGACAGACTTCTATTGATTTTTATTGTTAATCATGGCAAGTTTGGTTGAATTATATAATTTCGTTAATCAACTTTCATTCAGAATGATGAAATGGAACTACTTCGAGAAGAGTTACGCCAGAAGTATGACACAATTGCCGAGTTGCAGGAGAGACTGTCATCAGCCAACCGAGGCAGTCAGTTCTTCGGAGACGTGTCCCTGACAGATGCGGACAGAAGTCTACTGGAGTCGTCCTTCACGGAGAAGGTGAGACTTTCCTCTGTGGCTGTGGTGGTGGTTGCTTGTTCTAATTCAGCATAGAATATTCACAGTATAGTTTGGTGTGTGGGTAAACCTAGTCTTTAATGGTTTATTTTATAATTGTCTCCCCTTTGGGTGTTTGGTTAAGCTTGGTTTTAGAAATGGATGTTGGCAGATATTTGCCTCAAACAGTGAATACACAGTTAAAAAGTATGAAATGTTTAGTCATCACTTTTGTCAAAGGAGTTTAGGAATAAGAGATAAGGAAGGAGATCTAAATGAAAGTTTTTGCTATTGAATAACATTTCAGTTAGAGGTATATTCTGGTCCACAACTGACTTGATTTCAGACCAACTTCCAGCAGGAATTAGAGGAAACCATAGCTCAGAAAGAGGATGAAATGTCCGATCTGAGGAAGGAACTTGAAACTTCACAGTTAGCTCTCACAGAAATTGAAGCAGAGAAAATCAGTTTGAAGAGTGAAATGGAGGAAAAAGTGAAGAAGCTTGAGAAAGAACTGGAATCAGCTCAGACAGCTCTGATGGATTCCCATGGGAACCAGGACAAGAGTCCTGAGGACCAAGTAGAGGAGTCTCAGGAGAAGGACCAGGTGGAGATTCTCCAGAGGGAACTGAAACAAGCCCACCTTGCTCTCAAGGAGGCTCAGGACCAACTTACAGCCCATGCACAGATTGATGAGCTGCAGACAGAACTGCAGAAGGCGCAGGAGGCTTTGGAACACATTAGTGCTCAGAATAGTGAACTCCTGAAAGACTTGAAGGAATCAAAGGAGGCTTTGAGGGAAGCTGAAGAAAAAATAACAGACAAGGGTGATGTTGATGAACTGAGGAAAGAACTTAAAGAGGCCCACATTTCATTAAAAGCAGCTGAAGAGAAGCTTGCAACTCAGGACATTGAACTTCAACAGACAGTTGAGGAAAGTCAGCAATCTCTGAAAGATGCTCTGGACAAGGTACATGCTGAGCACAGTGAGAAGATATCTGTGCTTCAGAAAGAGCTGGAAGAAACCAGAGTTTCTTTGCAAGAAGCTGTAGAAAAGATTGTTGCTCAGGACAGAGAACATGAACAGAAGCTTGAGGAGGTTCAGCAAGCTTTGAATGATGCTAATGAGAAGTTACAGCTGAAACCAGACACTGATCAGCAGACACAAATGGAGGAAGCTCCCAAAGCTCAGGAGGAGGTTCCAGAACCCTTGATAGAGGCAGAACCTAACCTTAAAAGTGACAAGAACAGTGAAGAATTGCAGAGACAGCTTGAGGAAGTTCAGGCTGCCCTGATAGAGGCAAATGAAGCGAGGGAGACCCTGGCAGCTCATCTCAGTGAGCTGGAGTCAGAGCTGCTCCACCTTCAAGAGGAACGGGATCACAAGCAGCTTGCTCTGGAGCAGGTGAACGTCCAAGTGGATGCATTCCAGGATGAGATCAAGTCCCTTAGCGGCTTCCAGGTACTGGTGTCTATGTGGATGTCTGTCCTTTCTTCCACTGTAGGGCATAGTGACACTGCTGGAGGGATGTCCTTCCACAGAAACTATAGATCAGCTTGTCCAACAGGGTTATGTCACTGTTAGTCTCTAACCGCTTTCTCCAGATTATGATTGGGTCTCAGGTGACCAAGCCCCCTACTGCATTGCAATTGGCTGCACAGAGATGCCTCCCCTACAACATACTCAAATTGTAGTTTGAATCTCAAATTTCTCCAATATGATTTCCTGGTCAGTGAGCACTATGTGGCCTTGCTTGTAGAATTCACTGAAGCGGTAAATGTCTAAGACGTACACTACTCTGGCTTGCTCTGATGCTAAGTGGCCATGCTGTGAGTTAAGTGACATGCTGTTGTATTCCCTGTTTGATCATCAGTGACAGTAGAACTAGGGTCACCTCCTGCATGTTGGTAGGTTGAACCTTTAGAAGTTGCTGGTTCAGTTTTAGGATGACAAATTCTGTTCAGTTTGTCCAGGGATAGGAGTGCAAAAATAAATAGAGTGTTGAATTGAGGTTATTTATAAACAAAATCTTGAAATAGAAATAAACAGACTTTTAATTTATGTCCTTTTGTTTTGCAAGCTTCAGAGGAGATTTGTCCCTGACACAACTATGTTGGTAGGTCAAGCAATAGGGGTATTTGGCAGGGGAATAGTTAGAGGATTCTTGAATCATGGAAAAATAAACTACTGAAAAAAAGTCAAAGTACACCCGATTCTTTCATGATATTGTAGGTAATCTGTCATCATGCACTGACAGATTGATATTGTAGGTGATCTGTCATCATGCACTGACAGATTGATATTGTAGGTGATCTGTCATCATGCACTGACAGACTGATATTGTAGGTAATCTGTCATCATGCACTGACAGATTAATATTGTAGGTGATCTGTCATCATGCACTGACAGATTGAATAGTGAAATAGTAATATGGAAGAATAGGTTGTGTTCTTTAAATAGTAAATAAGAAATAAATAGTAGATGAGAAACTTGTGAGTATTTGTATCTCATGAATGGATCTCATTCTGGTATCCGAATGTTTTATTGTTTTTTTTAAAGAAGTTTACAGAATATTTGAAGATGATTTATTATACTTGATTAGTTGTTAGACAAAGAAAAGCAGTTAGTTCATATCTGGTGCAAGAATATGAGTAGATGTTTGTTTCAGTCAGGGATTTATGAGGAATTATAACATGACAAAGTGTATAAGTGACAGAACTTGAGTCTCATACAGACATTGATACTGAAGAAATATGAAACATAAATAGTTCAAATGTATGTTGCTCAAATACTAAGTTTCCGTATATTCATATCAACTTAAGATCTAAGTAAATAAACCGTGAAGGGTCCAATACAGTGATCGTAAATATTGAAAATAGAGCTTTGGTTATACACTTTGGAAACATTTCATGAAAGGTATGTTTATACAATGAAACAGCATGTTTGTGAAGCTATGAGATATTATTCAATGCAATTACAGGAATTACCATTCATGACTGTATAATTACTTCAAGCCCCATCACATTAACACACTGTTACACACAGATAGAACCACCATTAATCTGTGTGTAGCCCCCCAGCCTGTGTTGTATCAGCTGGTTATACAACAGCTGTGTGCTACAGTGATTATCACCATGGTGTACATATCACAGGCAGGGAAATAGACATGCAATGTACAAGCCAGATGTAGCCAATCAGTGGTCTCTGTCAGTGTAGTGCAGTGTTAAGTACAAGTATATATCCTCACAGATGTTAAGGAAGTATGTACATCTAGGGTTGGGATTATTTTCTACATAGAGCTTTCACTTTCACCACTGCTTTCAGGTGCTCAGTGCTTCTCTTTGAAAGCGTTAGATGTGTCTGGAGAATGTCAGAAATCACCATACATAAACTCAATAAAACTGAAAAAAATGAATAGTTTTATTTCCATAAAAATAAAATTATTAAACCCTTTGACATAAAGTATAGAAATATTATGTTATTTGCACAAAAAATATTTTTGAAACCCCCCCCCAAAAAAAACAATGGATTTTAAAGTTGTTTCTGATATGGTGCAGGATATTGATGATATGTGTAGTGATAAATATCACACAAATCATTGGCAAAGTTTCCTTCATATTTCAGTCCATAAATTTATTACTAGTACTTACTAGAGTAAAGTTTGAAACTAGGTACATATGAAGTCAAGTATGAGGTTGAGATTCATTTAGTCTAGGTAGTCTTCAGTCTGATGAATAAACGATATTTTCAAGTGATATGACCCAAATTCAGCTGAATTGCTGACGTATATTTATTACCTGATGATATATCTGAGATCCCTCCAGCTGAGAGAAGCTTGGCCTCTGTGTAGATGTGTAGCAAGCCTGTAGCTAGCACCGCATGCAAGGTGCCCCCCAGGGGGTTGTTTGGTCATCTACTGGTCAATCTCTGTAGCCACTCTTCTTCTACCCCTCACTGTCTGGTTCTCTCTGCCAACTGTCTGCATGTCGACACTGTTTCTGTCTGAGGATGGCCTCTTGGAGTATTCCTTGGCAATTTTTTCGTTCAACTTGGGAAGTTAGAAAGTTAAGATCTTGTGAGGTATGTTGCATAAATTGAATCTGTTATTTCATGATTTTTAAGAATGATCTGTAAATTATGATTCCTATTCTGGGAAGGTATGTCCAGAGAGTGAGAGCATTTGGAAGATATGAAGTTGACTCATTCAACACTAGTGTAAAGGTAGTACCTTGGTTACAAGTGTCTGAAGAAGTCAGTTTTGTTAGAAAGAGTAAATGTTTGTATGGCATGATGTTTGGCATCCTGGTTGATTCCAAGATGAATCTGTCAGATGGAGCTCACTAACTCAAGGAATGGTCATCAGGCAGCCATTATCAGGTCTTCACAGTCTGGAGGGAGGGAGACTTCGTTGTGGCTGTGTTTGAATCTGAATGAAATCCCAGCCAGAATCTGTATCAAAACACTGAGAGATATATCAATGTACATACTTTCTGGAAAACGTTAAATTGTCTGTTTCCCCTTTGTGTGTATGGACCACTTGGTAATGTTTGAGTACAATGTATGGAGAAAATGGGCTTGATGTACTGTAAAGTTCATAGGCAGTTGTTTTTGGTGTTCAATTAAAGTTTGGAGTAAGTTTGTTTTTGTGTGAAACAGGAATAGCTTCAGAAATATTTGACAGATGTTGTTGTAGGTCAGATAATGATATTGCATTAGATAATAATCAGAAAAGTAAATTCATAGGCATTTCTTTGAATCCATAAAAGTATTGTCAGGGGTTCAATTTGTAAAAAAAAAAGTCACTTGCCACAGGGCAAGTGACTTTAAGAAAGTAACTTGTCCTGACTAATTTTCCACTTGCCCTGATTTTATGACATAATTATGATGATGTAATTATGAAATAAGAAATGAACATGGTATTTGATGTTAATGTTTACTGGACTATTTATTGAAAAGTGATAAATAGCAAAGAAAGATAACTCTACTTTATTATCATTGCGAAATGTAATAGCTACATTTTGAGCAGATATGAAATTAAATCCAAGTTTATTTGCGGTTTGAAACCATAAGTGGAAATTATCTAGTAGCCCACGGACAAGTAAGATACCATTATTTGATTGCCCGAAATGAAAACTGACTTGTCCCGGGCATCGGGCGATGAGATTTTTGAACCTCTGATTGTACCTTTCTTATTATTCATCAACTTCTAAAATGTCAATCAACAGATTTGACATGCTCTGACATGTGTCTCTTGTTTCAGTACCTTGCAGTGTTAAGTAGACTGAAGCTTTGCTTGGAATAATCCCATGTATTCTGTAGCCTGCTTGTACACCTAATTAGGTCGCAGCAGTAGTAGATCAGGACATGAAGCCAGTCCAGCTAATGACTCGCAGACTGGGTGGTATACTCCCCAGGGGGTTGAGAATTTAACTCAGGGCACACTGATTTATCGGCTGGTATAGTGTATTATAGGTATGCTCAGTTCATTAAGCCTAATGCTGTATTATATTTATAGTGTGCAAAACTGTGCAGCATCGCTTCTGCCAGCTTTTTTTTTATCAGTGTATACCACTTTTTAAATTGTACTTGCCTTCTGGTGACAAGACGTCTCTAACTTGATATGACATTGCCCTTTGCTTGCCCCACGAGTTTACAGTTACCACACTGATGTTATTGCTGTGTCATGGCCCTCCATGTTCTTCATCTGCCAGTCTCACTGTCGGTTTGACACCCACGACTTTATCTTACTGTGATTTTTAAATGTATGTTAATGTTTTATGTCCTACCTTCTCAGAACATTATGAGTTTGTTTCTGCTTCTCCATATCTCTCGACATATTTAAAAGTTGGCCTAAATGATTTCTAAAATGTTTTGGATTAATGAAAATTCTTTGTATTTTATAGTTGTAATGCTATCTACTTGCTCAATAATAATAAACAGACCGATGCATGTGTGCAACATGACACTTTCAGACTGAGCTACAGAAGGACTTCGACACTGTTCAGTCCATGCTGGAAGAGAAGGAGAGAGAGATCGAGACACTCACACGAGAGCTGACTGAGTCTCACGTACCACCAGAGGGAGCCACCTCTGATTTACAGGTACGCTTTGTAGAAGTGTTTACTAACCCACATTGACATATAATATACAAACAGGACTTGTTGATTGTCCTGTGGGGTGGTGGGGTGGCCGAGTGGTTAAAGCATCTGCTTGTCATGCTGGAATACAGCTGATTTCAATTTTGGATGAAAATTATAACAAGTGCCATTGGCTCCCCTAAAAATGTTAATGCAGTATTATGCCGATGCAAAACAATGACTCAAATTAATATGTAAATCCCGGAAATGAGTGGATCTGCAGAAAAATCTTATGCTGGAATGTTGCTAAAAGTGGCGTAAAACTATACTCACTGACCCACCTCAAGTTAAGATTATTTGTGTCCATGAGCGGGTTCATATGTCTCTCCGGGTACTTCTTACACTACAACCTGTTTAAATGAAAATAGAAAAGGTTTATGAAAATCAAATCTGAGCTATTTTGAAGGAATAAGGCTAAATTCCTGAAACAAAACCTGTGTCCATGTGGTGTGATTGCTTTTTTTAGACTAAAAATTGGCGTTGCAGTGTCAAATATTAGAGAATATGGTTGTGTGTTTTTCAGGATAAATATGAGGCTGAGCTTGTGAGTCTCAGGAAGACAATCCAGGCAAAGGTGAACATCATCGAGGAGAAGGAGGAGGAGCTGTATGTCCTGAACGAGAAACTTGAGTTACAGGTAAAACACGTCTGAACATCAGTTACGGGTAACACACGTCTGAACATCAGTTACAGGTAAAACACGTCTGAACATCAGTTACGGGTAACACACGTCTGAACATCAGTTACGGGTAACACACGTCTGAACATCAGTTACAGGTAACACACGTCTGAACATCAGTTACAGGTAAAGCACGTCTGAACATCAGTTACAGGTAAAACACGTCTGAACATCAGTTACAGGTAACACACGTCTGAACATCAGTTATGGTAAAACACGTCTGAACATCAGTTACAGGTAAAACACGTCTGAACATCAGTTACAGGTAACACACATCTGAACATCAGTTACAAACACACGTAAAACATCGGGTAAAACACGGGTCTGAACATCAGTTACAGGTAACACACATCTGAACATCAGTTACAGGTAACACACGTCTGAACATCAGTTACACACACGTCTGAACATCAGTTAAAAACAGTTACGTCTGAACATCAGTTACGGGTAACACACGTCTGAACATCAGTTACGGTAACACACGTCTGAACATCAGTTACGGGTAAAACACGTCTGAACATCAGTTACGGGTAACACACGTCTGAACATCAGTTACGGGTAAAACACGTCTGAACATCAGTTACGGGTAACACACGTCTGAACATCAGTTACGGGTAACACACGTCTGAACATCAGTTACGGGTAACACACGTCTGAACATCAGTTACGGGTAACACACGTAAACATCAGTTACACGGGTCTGAACATCAGTTACAGGGTAAAACATCGTTACTGAACATCAACATAGTTACGGTAACACACGTCTGAACATCAGTTACGGGTAAAACACGTCTGAACATCAGTTACGGGTAACACACGTCTGAACATCAGTTACGGGTAACACATCGTCTGAACATCAGTTACAGGTAAAACACGTCTGAACATCAGTTACGGGTAACACTGACATCGGTTACGGTATGAACATCAGAACATCGTAAAACTGAACATCAGTTACGGGTAACACACGTCTGAACATCAGTTACGGAAACATCAGTTACACGAACATCAGAACACAAAACCGTCTGAACATCAGTTACAGGGTAAAACCGTCTGAACATCAGTTACGGGTTCACATCGTCTGAACATCAGTAAAACACGTCTGAACATCAGTTACGGGTAACACACGTCTGAACATCAGTTACGGGTAACACACGTCTGAACATCAGTTACGGGTAACCTGCGTCTGAACATCAGTTCACGGGTAACATCAGTTACGGGTAACCTCTGAACATCAGTTACGGGTAAAACACGTGAACATCAGTTACGGTAAAACACGTCTGAACATCAGTTACGGGTAAAAACACACGTCTGAACATCAGTTACAGGTAACACATGTCTGAACATCAGTTACAGGTAAAACATGTCGTCTGAACATCAGTTCACGGGTAACACACGTCTGAACATCAGTTACAGGTAAAACACGCCTGAACATCAGTTACGGGTAACACACGTCTGAACATCAGTTACGGGTAAACATCAACAGGTGACACATGTCTGAACATCAGTTACAGGTAACGCCTGAACATCAGTTACGGGTAACACACGTCTGAACATCAGTTACAGGTAACACACGTCTGAACATCAGTTACAGGTAACACACGTCTGAACATCAGTTACGGGTAACACACGTTTGAACATCAGTTACAGGTAACACACGTCTGAACATCAGTTACAGGTAACACACGTAACATCAGTTACGCGCGTCTGAACATCAGTTACAGGTAACACACGTCTGAACATCAGTTACGGGTAACACACGTCTGAACATCAGTTACGGGTAACACACATCTGAACATCAGTTCCGGGTAACTCAGGATATGCTCATGTTTGACATGACTTGAATATTCTTGACTCTTTGGGTTCTTCATAACAATTAATTGTTGGCCTACTCTAGCAAGTCTTATGATCCTTAAAATCAGGCAGTCTTGAATTTATGACTGTGTCAATTACATTAGATGTATGCAAATTTGTCTCAGTTTATTACCGAGATTTCTTCTTTTTAAACAGGATACCCTGGGTGCTGAGCTGTCCACAGTTCGTCAACAGCTAGCTGACAGTGAAGTAACTCTTGATGAAGTGCGGCTTGCCAAACAGAACTTAGAGGAAGAGTTCAGACTTCTTCAACAGAAGCTAGAGAGTCAGTCTGCAGAATTCAGCCATGAAGATGATCAGGAGAAGGAGTCTAGCTCGGTCAGCATTAGTCAGCTCCAGGAAGAACTCTCCCAGAAAGAAGAGAAGCTGGACAATGTTCGAGCTGAAGTGGAGGAGCTGAAAGAAAGACTGAGCGAGCAGCAGAAGGAGCTGAATGATGCTCGGGGCAAACTCCAGGAGAAAGAGGACTGGATTGAGGAGCAGCAAGCAGGTCGGGAGGAAGCTGGACAGGTGGAGAGACTTCAGAGTAGGATTGCTGAGTTGGAGGAGGAGAAGAAGAGCATTGAAGAAGGACAAGTTCAAGAACTGAGACTGAAGGTTGAAGACCTTGAGTCAAGACTGAGAGGGAGAGATGCTTCTGGGATTGATGGTGGTGAGGCTGTGGAAGAAGATGCAATTGTTGTTACTCTTGCTGATGATGTTGAAGGTGTCCCTTCTGAAAGAGATTGCAGCATTGAAGGTGATGTGGACAGTGCCAATGAAACCAGGTATATTGTGGAAGAGTTGAATATGAAGATAAGTGAACTTGAAGAATCTCTACAAGAGAAAGAACAATTGTTGGCGAGTTTGAGTCTAGAGAATTCTGAAGCTACTCCAGCGAAGTCAGATCTCAGGAAACAGTTGAGTGAGAAGACAGAACTCTATGACCAACTTCTTACTGATAAGATCATGCTGGAACAGACTGTCATAGATCTAGAAACAAAGCTGGAAGAAAAGCAAGAATATTTGGAAAATTTGGATTATGATAAAAATGAACTATCAGAGAAGGAAGAACTCATTGCAAAACTGAAACAAGAACTCAAAGATAAGGAAACAGACACAAGTTCAAGACAGATTGATTCAGAGGAAAGTGGACAATTGAGAGACCTTCAGAAGGAGATTGAGGAAAAGGAACAGAGGATGACAGAACTGGAATCTCAGTGTACAGAACTGAAGCAGCAGCTGGAGACAGAAGGTCTGACCATCCTACAGCAGCAGATCCAGGTGAAGGACCTGAGGATTGAAGAGCTGGAGGCCAAGTACGAGGACCTGAAACAACAGATGAGGGAGGAGGCTGGGAAGTTAGAGGAGGAGATCCTCAAGATCCACCAGATCCAGGAGAGTCAGCCGGACATGGGAGTCCTTGCCGAGACTCAGCAGAAGGTGAGGGAGATCTCTGCTGAGTTGGACAAGAACAAGGAGAAGCTCCTGGCTGCAGAGACGAGTTTGGAGCAGACACTGGTGCAGCTGGCCGAGAGAGACGAACAACTCAAGGCTCTCTTTGATAAGGGACAGGTAAGACAGATTTGATTTTTTTTAAATATATTCAAAGAGTATCACACTGTTGAGGATGCTGTCCTGAGTCTTGAAGGTTGATTGTCTGGGAACTGAAACTCTCAGAGCAATCTTAGTGCTGAGATGATTGTAATTCCTATGGTGAAACAGGCTTATGACATGTGAAGTGCTAATATCTCTTTCTGGAAATATACCCTGACTTAGGGTAGGTCACCAGCATGGCTTTGTTTGGCTAACTTAGAACATCTGGTGATGCAAGGTGACTTGTTGCTATGTCCCAAAGTTGTGGGGCTCATACTATCAACCCCAGCTTCTTCTGGCTAAGTCCTACTTATCTGCTGACAGAAGATTGAAGTGATGGACTGAGCACAGTTTGACACCACAGTTATGTTGCTATGACCATATTAACTCCCATGGTCTGACATTGTCCTGCAACAGTTGTTGTCCTGATGGTAAGGTAGACAGTAGTCTCAGGTTCAGGTTATATTTCATATGTAATGTTTTACAAAATGAAGCCTAAATATTTGTTAGGTGTTATTTGGAAAAAAATATGTAAATTATTTGGAAAAAATATGTAAATGGTTTAATGGGAAATGGGAATATGGATTGAGATGCATGTGGTGGTCTTGACTTTACTGTCGTGAGATGTCATCAAGAGGAACACATGTGGGTGGGTGAATGAATGGATGGGTGGGTGAGTGGGTGGTAGTGGTGTGACGGTTCATCGATACGCATCGATGCATCGATCCATGGGCCGCCGATACAGTGAATTGACACAAAGCTTTACATTGTCGTATATCCCGATACGATACTTCAAATGGGCCACGATACATTGATGTTTAGATTTGAATATTGCCGAATGGCGATATCTGTCAAGTAAAAACCATATATCGTGATTCGTATCGCAGCATCAGTGCACAATGCTTTGGCAATATATCATCTTGTCTTAAATTTTAGTATCGTGATGTATCGTGATAGCAGGTTGTAGGTGGGTGGGTGGGTGGGTGAGTGGGAGTGGGTGAATGATTGAGTGAGTGAGTCAGTTTAGTTTTACGCCATTTTTGGCAATATTCCTGCAATATCATGGCAGGACATGTCAGTGAAATAGATGCTGGCTCTGTGGGTGACAAGTCAAACACCTGCTCCTGTCTGTGATAAGTTGTTTATTTTTCAAAGTTACCTCCCTAGGAAAACACTGCTATGTATCTTTTCCATGGAAGGAGAACCAAATACTGATACCTTGACTTGTTGGCGATGTTGACGATGTTGGGCATCATTGGCAGGAGATTAATAGGCCTGCTCCTCCAAGTTGATGTTATAGTAACACACTAGTGAATGGTCTGTGATCTTAGTTAGTACTTCCTGACAGATATATAACATTGTGGAATAGACATCAAATGCTTACCGTGCTAAATGTGATGGTTAAATTATTATGTCTTAAAAATGTTACATAACTATTTCGAGACTATTATCGGGGCGGTGGGGTAGCCTAGTGGTTAAAGCGTTGGCTCGTCATGCCGAAGACCCGGGTTCGATTCCCCACATGGGCACAAAGTGTGAAGCCCATTTCTGGTGTCACCCGCCGTGATATTGCTGGAATATTGCTAAAAGCGGCGTAAAACTAAACTCAGTCAGTCAGTCAGTCTAGACTATTATCAACATTTGTTTTTTAATTAATCTTTTACATGAATATTTCATGATAACACTATCTAATAATATTACACCAACCTCATTTCGTTATTTCAAATATTCAAATATTTGATTTCATTTTCAAAATTCAACTGGCAATTTGATCAGTTATATGGGAATATTTTCCTCATCACATTTGACATTTCACATGTGTTATAATGAGGGAGTGATGGCATTCTGCTCACTGCTGCTTTACAGTGAGGTGTGATTCAGAGGCAGTGTATATAAATAGCTGGCCAGGAGACAGAACATCCACATTCTAGGTCAGCCAGACATTGCTGGAGAGTTGCAGCAGCCACTGAGGCTGTGGTGTATCAGAGACCGGTCGGCTGTCACAGTCGGCTGTCCCTGGACCAGTGTCCAGTGTATCAATATTGGAATGTTTTCACTTCACCAGTTTGTGTGGAGTTAGGTTGTTGTCTGTGTGCTAAATGTCTGTTTTTTAGGTTATTTCAGGTATCTGTTCAAAGTTGTGTGAAACTGAAGGTTCTGATTGAGTTAACTTTTAGCCCAGATAATTTTGGTTGACTTTGTGGTCCTCTCTGTGTTGATGATGGATGAGCAGTGGGTCGGGGGTGGGTGGGGTGGGGTGTGAGGCTGAAGGAGTAGGCTAGGGAGGGGCAGGGGGTTGGATGATCCTACAGGTGATGGCTAGAGTGGGTGCAGCTTGCAGATAAGATGTATTTTGTTTGACAAAGATTCAGGTTATCATTCTAGTCTGGTGCCATTTTGCTGATTGTGTATTTTAATCCACATCAAATACTGCTGAAAAATGTGTTATGTCATAACATATTGAGTATCTTGTTGTATGGCAGTTTTTATAGAATCTGCTAATTCATCTGGTATCAACATGAGCTAAGAATGATATTATCATTGTGCATTTAAACATACAACATGTCACCGTTTTGGTGTTCTTGTGTGTGTAAATTCCATGTCAGTCTCCCCATGTTCAGGGGAGATCACTCTAATGTTTCTGGATGTCTATGAACCAAGGATTGCTTGTTGTCTCATGTAATCTGTCAGCCATTTGCCACTGAGTTAAGGGAATGACCAATTCTTTTCTTTTGGAATGAGCAAGGCCACGCAGCCTGTATATCACTTAATGTTCTTTAAGAATGTTCAGACATCTGAATTATGTTATGGCTAATAGCTTGAGTTGTGTTTTGTGTACTGTTGCATGCTGTTAGGAAAGTTTAATAGGAATTAAACTGCAATATTGGCAAAGACGCTTTATAGTTGATATCGGTATCTCGTAGAAATTCCAAGTTAGGTTCAAATCATTCACACAATTAGTTTTCTGCTAGCTTAATTTTCTGATTTAATTAATTAATTAATTTAATTAATTAATTTAGTGATAAACCACTTATGCTGGCTGTTAATTAAATGATTCTGAAAATACCCTTGACTCCACATTTTTAGTAAGAAATGGCAAAAAGAAATTTTATAAACAACTTTTGTTGGGTATTATGCATCTAAACATGATGTGAACATTACCATAGAGCTTTTGAATGACACCAACTTCCCACAAACAATAATAACCATGGTTCATATCCAACTCAGTCTAAAATATGGTTGTGTGATAAGCAATAAGTTAGTATTTCAACTTCCACAGCCTCGGCATGACACCAGCAGCCAGTCACAAGAGGAAGTGAACCGAGCCCTAGAGGACACGCAACAGGAAGTGTATGAACTCTCGCTAGAGTTACGTGAAAAAGACGAGGATCTCGAGCGTCTTTCCACGGCTCTAACAGCAACAGAAGAGGAGCTGGAGGTCAAGTCATCTCAGCTTCGGACTGTTGAATCAGAACATGAGAAGGCACTGAAGGACTTGCGCGAGACAGAGGAGAAGCTGAAGCAGACGTCATTTGAACTGACCAATACACAGCGAGATCAGCTGTCAAGCTCTCTGCCATTGGACTTGGATGAGGATCATCAGTTGATGACTCGATCGGAGTCGGAACCGGCATTGAATAACTGGAGACGGGAAAGTCATCTATTCAGGTAATCATCCACGAGTTGCTCAATTCCATTATACGTCTCTGAAATTCATAAATATTTTTCTTGTCTTACATCCTGCTTTTCTGATTTTGCATGTTTTGAAAATATGAAAATTTGCATTAGGATTGTGTCGTGTCATCTGTTATATTGAAACATGTGATGAGATGGCCCTGTGGTTAATGCAGTCATGCTGGAGTCCTGGTTTGAATCTTTGCTGGAATACTAGTAGAGAAGGCATAAAGGCAAAGTCCTTCATTCACTATGATTTTGAATTATTCTGTTCACAATTATTACAGTGATTTGTGTATGAGGATCTACTTGAGGAATTGTGTGAGAGGATGTTGTCCTTTCCTGTTTGTAAGTGAAATAACACATAGATTGTCTATACGGTGTCCAAACTACAGGCTGGTATCTCAGTAGCACACTACAAAACCATCATTAGTCACAACTAGCACACACACATGGGGTATGTGACAATATGACGTTAATCTTGATGTGTCACCTCACCTCACCCCACCTCACCTCACCTCACCATATATACCTCCTGTTTATCAGGTCACGTTTACGTGAGGTGGAGTCTTTTGCGTCAACAGAAGCAGGAACTCACCCACCTCACCTCACCTCACCCCACCTCACTATATATACCTTCTGTTTATCAGATCATGTTTACACGAGGTGGAGAGTCTTGTGCGACAACAGAAGCAGGAACTCACCCACCTCACCTCACCCCACCCCACCTCACCTCACCCTACCTCACCTCACCATATATACCTCATGTTTTTCAGGTCACATTTACACGAGGTGGAGAGTCTTGTGCGACAACAGAAGCAGGAACTCACCCCACCTCACCTCACCCTACCTCACCTCACCATATATACCTCATGTTTTTCAGGTCACGTTTACATGAGGTGGAGAGTCTTGTGCGACAACAGAAGCAGGAACTCAGCTCCAAGAACAAGGAGTTGTCGGTGGTTCGTAGACAGCTGGAGCAATGGTTGTCCCAGGACCGAGGGGAGGGAGACGTGAAAACACTGATAACATCACTGCAGCAAGAGATTCAGGTCAGTACCAAGTACTTAATGTCTCCTACTTCAAGTATTCTCCAGTATGTACTGTATCAAGTATGGGGTTATTTAGTATCCTGTCAGTCAAGCAGCTAGGAAGATGAAGGGGTAAGGATTAGCCCTGAATCATTGTTACAGACACTGAAGAACTTATCATTTCCAGAAGTCATACATCATTCAGTATATAGTATCATTTCTGCAAGTCAGATATATACACACACCCATGCATGTAGGTTTCACCGAGGTGGTAAGTCTCTTGGTCCATGATCTCCCTGCACTCTCCTCCCTCTGAGATGCTGCTCAAACAGGCATTAAGTCCCTCACTGAAACAGTCATTAAGTCCCTCACTGAAACAGGCATTAAGTCCCTCACTGAAACAGTCCCTCACTGAAACAGTCATTAAGTCCCTCACTGAAACAGTCATTAAGTCCCTCACTGAAACAGGCATTAAGTCCCCCACTGAAACAGGCATTAAGTCCCCCACTGAAACAGTCATTAAGTCCCTCACTGAAACAGTCATTAAGTCCCTCACTGAAACAGTCATTAAGTCCCTCACTGAAACAGGCATTAAGTCCCTCACTGAAACAGTCATTAAGTCCCTCACTGAAACAGTCATTAAGTCCCTCACTGAAAGAGGCATTAAGTCCCTCACTGAAACAGTCATTAAGTCCCTCACTGAAACAGGCATTAAGTCCCTCACTGAAACAGGCATTAAGTCCCTCACTGAAACAGTCATTAAGTCCCTCACTGAAACAGGCATTAAGTCCCTCACTGAAACAGTCATTAAGTCCCTCACTAAAACAGTCATTAAGTCCCTCACTGAAACAGTCCCTCACTGAAACAGTCATTAAGTCCCTCACTGAAACAGTCATTAAGTCCCTCACTGAAACAGGCATTAAGTCCCTCACTCAAACAGGCATTAAGTCCCTCACTGAAACAGTCATTAAGTCCCTCACTGAAACAGTCATTAAGTCCCTCACTGAAACAGTCATTAAGTCCCTCACTGAAACAGGCATTAAGTCCCTCACTGAAACAGTCATTAAGTCCCTCACTGAAACAGGCATTAAGTCCCTCACTGAAACAGGCATTAAGTCCCTCACTGAAACAGGCATTAAGTCCCCCACTGAAACAGGCATTAAGTCCCTCACTGAAACAGTCATTAAGTCCCTCACTGAAACAGTCATTAAGTCCCTCACTGAAACAGTCATTAAGTCCCTCACTGAAACAGTCATTAAGTCCCTCACTGAAACAGTCATTAAGTCCCTCACTGAAACAGTCATTAAGTCCCTCACTGAAACAGGCATTAAGTCCCTCACTGAAACAGTCATTAAGTCCCTCACTGAAACAGTTTAAGTCCCTCACTGAAACAGGCATTAAGTCCCTCACTGAAACAGGCATTAAGTCCCTCACTGAAACAGTCATTAAGTCCCTCACTGAAACAGTCATTAAGTCCCTCACTGAAACAGTCATTAAGTCCCTCACTGAAACAGGCATTAAGTCCTCACTGAAACAGTCATTAAGTCCCTCACTGAAACAGTCATTAAGTCCCTCACTGAAAGAGGCATTAAGTCCCTCACTGAAACAGTCATTAAGTCCCTCACTGAAACAGGCATTAAGTCCCTCACTGAAACAGGCATTAAGTCCCTCACTGGAAACAGGCATTAAGTCCCTCACTGAAACAGGCATTAAGTCCCTCACTGAAACAGTCATTAAGTCCCTCACTAAAACAGTCATTAAGTCCCTCACTGAAACAGTCCCTCACTGAAACAGTCATTAAGTCCCTCACTGAAACAGTCATTAAGTCCCTCACTGAAACAGGCATTAAGTCCCTCACTGAAACAGGCATTAAGTCCCTCACTGAAACAGTCATTAAGTCCCTCACTGAAACAGTCATTAAGTCCCTCACTGAAACAGTCATTAAGTCCCTCACTGAAACAGGCATTAAGTCCCTCACTGAAACAGTCATTAAGTCCCTCACTGAAACAGGCATTAAGTCCCTCACTGAAACAGGCATTAAGTCCCCCACTCAACAGGCAATAAGTCCCCCCACTGAAACAGGCATTTTAGCCCTCACTGAAACAGTCATTAAGTCCCTCACTGAAACAGTCATTAAGTCCCTCACTGAAACAGTCATTAAGTCCCTCACTGAAACAGTCCCTCACTGAAACAGTCCCTCACTGAAACAGTCATTAAGTCCCTCACTGAAACAGTCATTAAGTCCCTCACTGAAACAGTCATTAAGTCCCTCACTGAAACAGGCATTAAGTCCCTCACTGAAACAGGCATTAAGTCCCTCACTGAAACAGTCATTAAGTCCCTCACTGAAACAGTCCCTCACTGAAACAGTCATTAAGTCCCTCACTGAAACAGTCATTAAGTCCCTCACTGAAACAGGCATTAAGTCCCTCACTGAAACAGTCATTAAGTCCCTCACTGAAAGAGGCATTAAGTCCCTCACTGAAACAGGCATTAAGTCCCTCACTGAAACAGTCATTAAGTCCCTCACTGAAACAGTCATTAAGTCCCTCACTGAAACAGTCAGTCCCTCAAACAGTCCCTCACTGAAACAGTCCCTCACTGAAACAGTCATTAAGTCCCTCACTGAAACAGTCATTAAGTCCCTCACTGAAACAGTCATTAAGTCCCTCACTGAAACAGGCATTAAGTCCCTCACTGAAACAGGCATTAAGTCCCTCACTGAAACAGTCATTAAGTCCCTCACTGAAACAGTCCCTCACGGAAACAGTCATTAAGTCCCTCACTGAAACAGTCATTAAGTCCCTCACTGAAACAGTCATTAAGTCCCTCACTGAAAGAGGCATTAAGTCCCTCACTGAAACAGGCATTAAGTCCCTCACTGAAACAGTCATTAAGTCCCTCACTGAAACCGGCATTAAGTCCCTCACTCAAACAGTCATTAAGTCCCTCACTGAAACAGTCATTAAGTCCCTCACTGAAACAGTCCCTCACTGAAACAGTCATTAAGTCCCTCACTGAAACAGGCATTAAGTCCCTCACTGAAACAGGCATTAAGTCCCTCACTGAAACAGTCATTAAGTCCCTCACTGAAACAGGCATTAAGTCCCTCACTGAAACAGTCATTAAGTCCCTCACTGAAAGAGGCATTAAGTCCCTCACTGAAACAGGCATTAAGTCCCTCACTGAAACAGGCATTAAGTCCCTCACTGAAACAGTCATTAAGTCCCTCACTGAAACAGGCATTAAGTCCCTCACTGAAACAGGCATTAAGTCCCTCGCTGAAACAGGCATTAAGTCCCTCACTGAAACAGTCATTAAGTCCCTCACTGAAACAGTCATTAAGTCCCTCACTGAAACAGTCATTAAGTCCCTCACTGAAACAGGCATTAAGTCCCTCACTGAAACAGTCTCTTACTGAAAGAGTGTTTTAATGTGTACATCTCTGGCATGGAGTAGAAAGATCTAATATTGGGTGTTCAAATATTCAGTAGCCAAGCATGCAAGTATCTAATATCAAGTGTTATGTCTTTCTTATGTAAATCTTATTTCTTCTTTAACAATCAGGAACGTGATAAGAAGAACCAACTGCTGCAAGCTGAAATCGATGAATTAAATGAAACTCTCCTTCTAAGGGATACTGAGATTCATGCCGTCCGTGCTTCCGAGTCTCAGCGGTATTCCAGTGCAAGGGAGGCAACTCCTCCTGAAAGTGAGCAACAAATACGTCATCTGAGACACGAACTACGGAAAGCCAAATCGGCACTTGCAGAAATTCATCACAGCGGTGACTTCCTTGACCGAACACCAGAGGGCAGTGCTACAGAGGATGACCAATCACCTCTGAGACTTGGGGAAGATGCTCGTAATCTTCGGCGGGAGGTAGCCCAACTGAAAGAAGAGCTTGAACTATTTAAGACAACGGCTTCTATGTCATCAAGAGATTTTGTTAAAGTAAGAAGCTGTAGAATTTCTCAGGGAAAGTAAAAAGGAAAGAATGTTGCTATTTTAGTTTTCTGTCAGGATCTGTTTGACATATGAAGTAGCACTCTTTGATGATGCCCTGACCAGTGGCCAAGGGTACCCTGGTGATCAAAGAGTTTGTCTAATTGCTTGAAGCCTTTCTGGCGTTCCCCACTGAGATATTGCTTGAATGTTGCAAACAACCAGATAAAGGTGTACTTACTCACAGGAACCTGTGCTGATTGAGTGACCACATGGATGTTGTGTGTGAAACAGCTGAACCTTGGTGTCCCGACCATCCCACCCTGGAATAGTGATGGAAGTGGGTTAATGAGAACTTTCTGTATCCTCTTCATACTTGGATGCAGGTGGTGCAGTCATCTCGGGTGGTGCAGTAGTCTCGGGCGGTGCAGTAGTCTAGGATGGTGCAGTAGTCTAAGGTGGTGCAGTAGTCTTGGGTGGTGCAGTAGTCTCGGGTGGTGCAGTAGTCTCGGGTGGTGCAGTACACTCAGGTGGTGCAGTAGTCTCGGGTGGTGCAGTACACTCGGGCGGTGCAGTAGTCTCGGGTGGTGCAGTAGTCTCGGGTGGTGCAGTAGTCTCGGGTGGTGCAGTAGTCTCGGGTGGTGCAGTAGTCTCGGGGGGTGCAGTACACTCGGGCGGTGCAGTAGTCTCGGGTCTCTGGTGGTGCAGTAGTCTCGGGTGGTGCAGTAGTCTCAGGCGGTGCAGTAGTCTCGGGTGGTGCAGTTCACTGTCCTGAGTTGCACCATTTCTCCCAGAAACCCTGAATGTGTTAATAGATTTGTCAGCACCATACCCTTTGTTGTTGACAAATCATGCATCACTTGTTAAACTTGTTTTCTCTCCTGCAGAAAGTGATGGAGCTGAGAGAGGAGCTGTCCGAGGAACACAAGAACCACATCCGGGACGTCCAGGAGCGACTCAAGATGGACGCCGAGTCGCAGCTCACCACGCTGCAGCTCCGACACGAGGATGAGATCAAGCAGCTCCGCCAGCTCCATGACCGCAAGATGCAGGCCGTCCTCGCAGAGCAGAGGCAGGACCTGGAGAAACAACACAAGACGGAGATCAACAGGCTGATAGCTGAACACAAGCAGGAGATGGATCTGGTTCGAGATGAGGGCATTGGTGAGTAGGCGGAAGGCAGTATGGTGTGGAGTGTAGGAGAGTTTGATGGGGGGATGTTTGATGCGTGGGTGAAGTAGGACTGGAGATGGAGGAGAAATCGATGGATACGAGAGGGAGATAAGGGATGTGTTGCTTGGAAAAGGTATATCGAACACAACACAAGAAATGACTACAAGTTATTTTGAATGAGGTGTCTGTTATTCAGAGAAGTATGATTTCCACTGCTGTCCTAATGTAGAATATTGTTACCTTCCAGTGCGAGAAGATGCGTCCGTGACTGAACTGAGGCAGAGTCTGATCTCTGACATCCAGCAGACGGAACTGATGGACAACCGTCTCATGGAGCAGCTGGACGGACCGGGTGGAGAAGACTCGGATACTACCAGCATCACCGACACCGCCAGCATCGACGCAGCTCCACCTGGTGCTATATCCACTAAACTACAGGTAGGATGATGTTCTGTGTGTAAGACAACATAATGAACTTGAAGGTAACACTCTGACTGGTTGATGGCTGCTGTCATACTGTGCAGAGGTAGATGTCAACAACACTGTACACGTGGATGTTGTTTCAGGTCCTGTTGAGCAGGCTACACAAAAAGGGTGTCCATGTGCTGACTCTGTCCGAACTCCAGTTCCTTCAGCGACACATGTCACATGACCATCTGAGGGGTGACATTGATATTGATGCCGTACGACAAGCCTGGGAAAGAGAACGTGAGACGTTGTTAGCCACCGTCAACTCCTTGAAGGACCTCCTGGCCAGGGTGCACAAAGTCAACAATGTTGACAGGGTAGGTGTCTTTGTAACACATTGAAAGTGTAGGTGTTAGCATGACACATGGACAGGGTAGGTGTCCTTGTGTTACATGGACAGGCTAGGCATCAGCATGACACATAGACAGGGTAGGTGTCTGCATGATACATGGACAGGATAGGTGTCAGCGTAACACATCAGTATGACACATGGACAGGCTCGGCATCAGCATGACACATGGACAGGCTAGGTGTCAGCGTATCACATGGGCAGGGTAGGTGTCAGCATGATACATGGACAGGATAGGTGTCAGCATGACACATGGGCAGGGTGGGTGTCAGCATAACACATGGGCAAGGTAGGCATCAGCATGACACATGGACAGGATAGGTGTCAGTGTGACACATGGACAGGGTAGGTGTCAGCATGATACATGGACAGGATAGGTGTCAATATGACACATGGGCAGGGTAGGTGTCAGCATGACACATGGACAGGCTAGGCATCAGCAAAACACATGAACAGGATAGGTGTCAGCGTGACACATGGGTAAGGTAGGTGTCAGCATGACACATTGATAGTGTAGGAATGTGGAGATACAGCACCTGATCTACCTCAACTTAATGGAGGGATTATTGCTGACCACAGTGAACTTGGACTACATCTGACCCATCTTAGGGGAGACTGCTTGTACCCATGTTAGGAGACTGCTTGTACCATGTTAGGAGACTGCTTGTACCCATGTTAGGAGACTGCTTGTACCATGTTTGGATACTGCTTGTACCCATGTTAGGAGACTGCTTGTACCATGTTAGGAGACTGCTTGTACCATGTTAGGAGACTGCTTGTACCATGTTAGGAGACTGCTTGTACCATGTTAGGAGACTGCTTGTACCATGTTTGGATACTGCTTGTACCCATGTTAGGAGACTGCTTGTACCATGTTAGTAGACTGCTTGTACCCATGTTTGGATACTGCTTGTACCCATGTTAGGAGACTGCTTGTATCATGTTAAGAGACTGCTTGTACCATGTTAGGAGACTGCTTGTACCCATGTTTGGATACTGCTTGTACCCATGTTAGGAGACTGCTTGTACCATGTTAGGAGACTGCTTGTACCCATGTTAGGAGACTGCTTGTACCCATGTTAGGAGACTGCTTGTACCCATGTTTGGATACTGCTTGTACCATGTTAGGAGACTGCTTGTACCATGTTTGGATACTGCTTGTACCCATGTTAGGAGACTGCTTGTACCATGTTTGGATACTGCTTGTACCCATGTTAGGAGACTGCTTGTACCATGTTAGGAGACTGCTTGTACCCATGTTAGGAGACTGCTTGTACCCATGTTAGGAGACTGCTTGTACCCATGTTTGGATACTGCTTGTACCATGTTAGGAGACTGCTTGTACCATGTTAGGAGACTGCTTGTACCATGTTAGGAGACTGCTTGTACCATGTTAGGAGACTGCTTGTACCCATGTTAGGAGACTGCTTGTACCATGTTTGGATACTGCTTGTACCCATGTTAGGAGACTGCTTGTACCCATGTTTGGATACTGCTTGTACCCATGTTAGGAGACTGCTTGTACCCATGTTAGGAGACTGCTTGTACCATGTTAGGAGACTGCTTGTACCATGTTAGGAGACTGCTTGTACCATGTTAGGAGACTGCTTGTACCATGTTTGGATACTGCTTGTACCCATGTTAGGAGACTGCTTGTACCATGTTAGGAGACTGCTTGTACCCATGTTTGGATACTGCTTGTACCCATGTTAGGAGACTGCTTGTATCATGTTAAGAGACTGCTTGTACCATGTTAGGAGACTGCTTGTACCCCATGTTTGGATACTGCTTGTACCCATGTTAGGAGACTGCTTGTACCATGTTAGGAGACTGCTTGTACCCATGTTAGGAGACTGCTTGTACCCATGTTAGGAGACTGCTTGTACCCATGTTTGGATACTGCTTGTACCATGTTAGGAGACTGCTTGTACCATGTTTGGATACTGCTTGTACCCATGTTAGGAGACTGCTTGTACCATGTTTGGATACTGCTTGTACCCATGTTAGGAGACTGCTTGTACCATGTTAGGAGACTGCTTGTACCCATGTTAGGAGACTGCTTGTACCCATGTTAGGAGACTGCTTGTACCCATGTTTGGATACTGCTTGTACCATGTTAGGAGACTGCTTGTACCCATGTTAGGAGACTGCTTGTACCCATGTTAGGAGACTGCTTGTACCCATGTTTGGATACTGCTTGTACCATGTTAGGAGACTGCTTGTACCATGTTTGGATACTGCTTGTACCCATGTTAGGAGACTGCTTGTACCATGTTAGGAGACTGCTTGTACCCATGTTTGGATACTGCTTGTACCCATGTTAGGAGACTGCTTGTACCCATGTTTGGATACTGCTTGTACCCATGTTTGGATACTGCTTGTACCCATGTTAGGAGACTGCTTGTACCATGTTAGGAGACTGGTTGTACCCATGTTTGGATACTGCTTGTACCATGTTAGGAGACTGCTTGTACCATGTTAGGAGACTGCTTGTAACATGTTAGGAGACTGCTTGTACCATGTTAGGAGACTGCTTTTACCCATGTTTGGATACTGCTTGTACCCATGTTAGGAGACTGTTTGTACTCATGTTAGGAGACTGCTTGTAGCATGTTAGGAGACTGCTTGTACCATGTTAGGAGACTGGTTGTACCCATGTTTGGAGACTGCTTGTACCATGTTAGGAGACTGCTTGTACCATGTTAGGAGACTGCTTGTACCCATGTTAGGAGACTGCTTGTACCATGTTAGGAGACTGCTTGTACCATGTTTGGATACTGCTTGTACCATGTTAGGAGACTGCTTGTACCGTGTTAGGAGACTGCTTGTACCCATGTTAGGAGACTGCTTGTACCATGTTAGGAGACTGCTTGTACCATGTTAGGAGACTGCTTGTACCCATGTTAGGAGACTGCTTGTACCATGTTAGGAGACTGCTTGTACCCATGTTTGGAAACTGCTTGTACCCATGTTAGGAGACTGCTTGTACCCATGTTAGGATACTGCTTGTACCATGTTAGGAGACTGCTTGTACCATGTTAGGAGACTGCTTGTACCATGTTAGGAGACTGCTTGTACCATGTTAGGAGACTGCTTGTACCCATGTTAGGAGACTGCTGGAACCCATGCATGGATACTGCTTGTACCCATGTTAGGAGACTGCTTGTACCCATGTTTGGATACTGCTTGTACCATGTTAGGATACTGCTTGTACCATGTTAGGACACTGCTTGTATCATGTTTGGATACTGCTTGTACCCATGTTAGGAGACTGCTTGTACCCATGTTTGGATACTGCTTGTACCCATGTTAGGAGACTCCTTGTACCCATGTTTGGATACTGCTTGTACCCATGTTAGGAGACTGCTTGTACCATGTTAGGAGACTGCTTGTACCATGTTAGGAGACTGCTTGTACCATGTTAGGAGACTGCTTGTACCCATGTTTGGATACTGCTTGTACCCATGTTAGGAGACTGCTTGTACCCATGTTAGGATACTGCTTGTACCATGTTAGGAGACTGCTTGTACCCATGTTAGGAGACTGCTTGTACCATGTTAGGAGACTGCTTGTACCCATGTTAGGAGACTGCTTGTACCCATGTTTGGATACTGCTTGTACCCATGTTAGGAGACTGCTTGTACCCATGTTAGGAGACTGCTTGTACCATGTTAGGAGACTGCTTGTATCATGTTAGGAGACTGCTTGTACCATGTTAGGAGACTGCTTGTACCCATGTAAGGAGACTGCTTGTACCATGTTAGGAGACTGCTTGTACCATGTTAGGAGACTGCTTGTACCCATGTTAGGATACTGCTTGTACCCATGTTAGACTTGTTTGTGTTGTAGTGTGAGGGTGATGAAGACTGGCGAGGGGACCTGCTGGCAGCAGTGTGTGGACTGTTTGACAAGGAGCGTGAGGCGGTGCTGGCTGAACTGCGGACATATGTGGTCACCCACGCCCCCGACGCCGACCCCAGCACCAGGAGACTCGAGCAGAGAATCTCTGATCAGGTAGTCACATCTTTATATATCAAACAGCTTAGTTGAATAAATTTATTGTTTTGGGATTTTATGAAAACAAACCAAAACTAACAAGCAAACTTCCATTACTTCATAATTATAGGCCAGTTCTATTTACAAACGTCATGTCTTGATGACTGGCTGTAGGTGATTGCTGTTTTAGTTTCAAGCTGAATTCCAGGTCTTCCTTCATGTTTGGAAAACAGGTGCTTGAGAGTCTTCTGACCAAGTTAATACAGCTGTATTGCTAGAAATACACGTAATTTTGTATACACGAACACAGTATTGCTATGTAAGTGCAATTATTTTGAAGAATTCCACCCTTCATGCTTCCCTTACCTAAATTTTCCATCTCTTTTATGTGTCCTCCTTTCATATTTGGGAGGAACATCTTCAAAGCAATGTATTTTGTCTGGTCTCTGGTCTAAAAGTACTGGTGCTGCAGTAGTGAGTGACTCACTGACTCTGATACACTGTTTGTACTGTCGTCAGTGTAGCATAAGGTACCTTGTGTTTGACTCTGTATACACAGGCCTGTATTGTGTATTCCAGGAGGCTCTCCATCGGTCAGCGCTTGACCAGCTTCACCACTCTGACCGGCAGTCCATGCTGTCGGAGATCGAGGCCCTGCGTAAGAAGGCGAGTGAGACTCGGCAGCGGACAGACACGCAGCAGCAGGAGTACAACGCCACCATCTCCTCCCTGGAGGACCAGAGTGCCAAGAGGGAGCGGCAACAGCAGCGACAGAGTAGGTGGTCCTTGGGAACACTTGGGGAATTGTTGGGTAGGAGGAGATTACATGGTCCTGGTATATAGCCCTGTGTGGAGTAGGTAGAGTAGATGGTCCGCAGGAACACTTGAGGGTCTGTTGGGTAGAATGAGATTACATGGTCCTGGTATATAGCCCTGTGTGGAGTAGTTAGAGTAGATGGTCCGCAGGAACACTTGAGGGTCTGTTGGGTAGAATGAGATTACATGGTCCTGGTATATAGCCCTGGGTGGAGTAGGTAGAGTAGATGGTCCGCAGGAACACTTGAGGGTCTGTTGGGTAGAAGGAGATTACATGGTCCTGGTATATAGCCCTGGGTGGAGTAGGTAGAGTAGATGGTCCGCAGGAACACTTGAGGGTCTGTTGGGTAGAATGAGATTACATGGTCCTGGTATATAGCCCTGGGTTCAGTGGAGGGAACATAGTGGAAAACGTTAGCAGGTGGTCCCAGGAAATAATAGTGGGTGTTTTTAATGGAGGATGGAGTTTGAGCAAGAGTCTTTGTGACTTTGGAATTTGGTGACCAGGAGAGGCTGCAGGTTTGATGCATGTCATGCAACTTTCAGGTGAAATGTTTGACTTTTAGCCAGTCCTGACAACTGTCTATAGAGCCACAGAATGACATGAATGGGTGGTTTTAATCTTGGTCCTTGCGTTTCCATGTAACATTGATGAACTTGCTGATTATCCATCTGACATGTTGTTCTGTCCCACACAGTCCAAGTCCTGGAGTATAAGCTGCAGCAAGAGAAGGTGATCCAGGACGACCTGAAGACCAGTCTGGACCTGGAGAGGCAGCGGGTCCGGGAGGTGTCCACGGAGCTGTCCCGGGAGAAGAACACCAGTCTGGAGATTCAGGGGGAACTGTCCACCGTACAGATTCAGCTGTCTAAAGCCAGAGACGCTCTGGAGCGGGAACACAACCGATTCATCTCTGTCACGTATGTACACCTTGTGTCTTTAATCTACAAATACTCTCAGGGGTTAAGTGTGAATGTAGTTTTGGGTGAGGGGTGGGGACTGACTTCTTGAAGTCGCTGTAAAAGAAGACCAAGTAAGAGTGCAATTTGAAACAAGCAAGATCATTATTATGGTCAAGTGGTCTCAGTATTGTATTTCTCTATGCTTTTTCTGTTGTGTTCATTTATTCTCCTAACCCGTCTTCTCCACACAGGGAGATATGGAACACAGTGATGTAAGTTGCCTGCCTACCAACCTTGCATGCCCCCCGGTGTCTTGTGTTCATCATTACTTGTCCCTGTTGGACGCGCCACTCAGTTGCCTAGTGTTGCAGGGTGTAGCGGTGTAATAGTTCAGTCAGACCGGTTGTCGACAGTGGAGCATTATACAACTTTTATCTACTGGGAAATAGTCCGAAGGTTCTGAAACATGTCACCGTAGTTGTTTGAATTCATCTCTGGGAATATATCATTCCTTGTGGGGATAGATGAGTTAACTGGATCCCAACCTGGTGGGGATGGATGAGTCAGCTGGATCCCAGCCTGGTGGGGATAGATGAGTTAGCTGGATCCCAACCTGGTGGGGATAGATGAGTTAGCTGGATCCCAACCTGGTGGGGTAGGATGAGCTGGATCTTAACCTGGTGGGTATAGATGAGTCAGCTGGATCCCAGCCTGGTGGGGATAGATGAGTTAGCTGGATCTTAACCTGGTGGGTATAGATGAGTCAGCTGGATCCCAGCCTGGTGGGGATAGATGAGTTAGCTGGATCCCAACCTGGTGGGGATAGATGAGTCAGCTGGATCCCAACCTGGTGGGGATAGATGAGTCAGCTGGATCCCAGCCTGGTAGGGATAGATGAGTCAGCTGGATCCCAGCCTGGTCGGGATAGATGAGTTAGCTGGATCCCAGCCTGGTGGGGATAGATGAGTTAGCTGGATCCCAGCCTGGTGGGGATAGATGAGTTAGCTGGATCCCAGCCTGGTGGGGATAGATGAATCAGCTGGATCCCAGCCTGGTGGGGATAGATGAGTTAGCTGGATCCCAGCCTGGTGGGGATAGATGAGTTAGCTGGATCCCAACCTGGTGGGGATAGATGAGTCAGCTGGATCCCAGCCTGGTGGGGATAGATGAGTTAGCTGGATCCCAGCCTGGTGGGGATAGATGAGTCAGCTGGATCCCAGCCTGGTGGGGATAGATGAGTCAGCTTGATCCCAGCCTGGTGGGGATAGATGAGTTAGCTGGATCCCAACCTGGTGGGGATAGATGAGTTAGCTGGATCCCAGCCTGGTGGGGATAGATGAGTTAGCTGGATCCCAGCCTGGTGGGGATAGATGAGTTAGCTGGATCCCAACCTGGTCGGGATGGATGAGTCAGCTGGATCCCAGCCTGGTGGGGATAGATGAGTTAGCTGGATCCCAACCTGGTGGGGTAGGATTACTTGGTTCAATGTTACCGACATTATGGATTGATCAGTCACGGGAGAATCTGGTCCGGATTAGGTAAAGGTTGTTGTCATATACATGACTAGTACAACAAAGAAATGTGGCCTAGGGAACCGTTGTGATTTGATCAAGTTTAAGCAGTACAATGGAATACAGTTTACACATCGTCTTAAACAGCTGTTTTATTCTGTGAGAAATGTGGAAGAAATACTACATGCATTACTCCTAAAAGTGGACACTGTCTCACATGCTGTGTAAGGTCAAGGTGAATTATTGCTGACAACCCTGGGAACAGTGACCCTCCCCACCTAACATCACACGAAGCACATGACCTAGTCTCGTTAACACTGTTATTCCTGGTTATTAACACAAACCTGTTGTCATTAACAAACTTGTTCCCCCATTCATTGGGAGTGGGTGGTCCTGCACCTATATCAGGGTAGAGTACTATAACAGGTGGTTGTTCCTCCATTCATTGGGAGTGGGTGGTCCTGCACCTATATCAGGATAGAGTACTATAACAGGTGGTTGTTCCTCCATTCATTGGGAGTGGGTGGTCCTGCACCTATGTCGGGGTAGAGTCCTACAACAAGTGGTTGTTCCCCCATTCACTGGGAGTGGGTGGTCGTGCACCTGTATCGGGGTAGAGTACTATAACAGGTGGTTGTTCCTCCATTCATTGGGAGTGGGTGGTCCTGCACCTATATCAGGGTAGAGTACTATAACAGGTGGTTGTTCCTCCATTCATTGGGAGTGGGTGGTCCTGCACCTATATCGGGGTAGAGTACTATAACAGGGGTTGTTCCTCCATTCATTGGGAGTGGGTGGTCCTGCACCTATATCGGGGTAAAGTACTATAACAGGTGGTTGTTCCTCCGTTCATTGGGAGTGGGTGGTCCTGCACCTATATCGGGTAGAGTAATTTATAACAGGTGGTTGTTCCCCCATTCACTGGGAGTGGGTGGTCCTGCACCTATATCAGAGTAGAGTACTATAACAGGTGGTTGTTCCTCCATTCATTGGGAGTGGGTGGTCCTGCACCTATATCGGGGTAGAGTACTATAACAGGTGGTTGTTCCTCCATTCAATGGGAGTGGGTGGTCCTGCACCTATATCGGGTAGAGTACTACTATAACAGGTGGTTGTTCCTCCATTCATTGGGAGTGGGTGGTCCTGCACCTATATCGGGGTAGAGTACTATAACAGGTGGTTGTTCCCCATTCATTGGGAGTGGGTGGTCCTGCACCTATATCAGGGTAGAGTACTATAACAGGTGGTTGTTCCCCCATTCACTGGGAGTGGGTGGTCCTGCACCTATATCGGGGTAGAGTCCTACAACAAGTGGTTGTTCCTCCATTCATTGGGAGTGGGTGATCCTGAACCTATGTCAGGGTAGAGTACTATTACAGGTGGATGTTCCCCCATTCATTGGTAGTGGGTGGTCCTGCACCTATATCGGGGTAGAGTACTACAACACGGGGTCCATGTGAGTACATGCCACAGACTGACGGGGGTCAACTGAAGATGTGGCAGTCCTGTATGGCTCCATACTCAATGGGCTCTGTTCGGCTCCGTTCTCAATGGACTCTGTATGGCTCCATACTTAATGGGCTCTGTTCGTCTCCGTACTCAACAGGCTCTGTGTGGCTGTGTACTCAACAGGCTCTGTATGCATGAGATGTAACCTGGTCATGAGATGTAACCTGGTCATGAGGTGTAAGCTGGTCATGAGATGTAAGCTGGTCATGAGATGTAAGCTGGTCATGAGATGTAACCTGGTCTTGAGGTGTAAGCTGGTCATGAGATGTAAGATGTAAACTGGTCATGAGATGTAAGCTGGTCATGAGATGTAAGCTGGTCATGAGATGTAAGCTGGTCATGAGATGTAAGCTGGTCATGAGGTGTAAACTGGTCATGAGATGTAACCTGGTCATGAGGTGTAAGCTGGTCATGAGGTGTAACCTGGTCATGAGGTGTAAGCTGGTCATGAGGTGTAACCTGGTCATGAGGGGTCATGAGGTGTAAGCTGGTCATGAGGTGTAAACTGGTCATGAGGTGTAACCTGGTCATGAGGTGTAAGCTGGTCATGAGATGTAAGCTCATCATGAGGTGTAACCTGGTCATGAGATGTAAGCTGGTCATGAGGTGTAAGCTGGTCATGAGGTGTAACCTGGTCATGAGGTGTAACCTGGTCATGAGGTGTAAGCTGGTCATGAGGTGTAAGCTGGTCATGAGGGGTCATGAGGTGTAAGCTGGTCATGAGGTGTAAACTGGTCATGAGGTGTAACCTGGTCATGAGGTGTAAGCTGGTCATGAGGGGTCATGAGGTGTAAGCTGGTCATGAGATGTAAGCTGGTCATGAGGTGTAACCTGGTCATGAGGTGTAAGCTGGTCATGAGATGTAAGCTGGTCATGAGGTGTAAGCTGGTCATGAGGTGTAACCTGGTCATGAGATGTAAGCTGGTCATGAGATGTAAGCTGGTCATGAGGTGTAAGCATGAGGTGTAAGCTGGTCATGAGGTGTAACCTGGTCATGAGAGGTCATGTAAGCTGGTCATGAGATGTAAGCTGGTCATGAGGTGTAAGCTGGTCATGAGGTGTAACCTGGTCATGAGGTGTAAGCTGGTCATGAGAGTGTAAGCTGGTCATGAGGTGTAAGCTGGTCATGAGGTGTAAGCTGGTCATGAGGTGTAAGCTGGTCATGAGGTGTAAGCTGGTCATGAGATGTAACCTGGTCATGAGGTGAGAGGTGTAACCTGGTCAGCTGAGATGTAAGCTGGTCATGAGGATGTAACCTGGTCATGAGGTGTAAGCTGGTCATGAGGTGTAAGCTGGTCATGAGGTGTAACCTGGTCATGAGATGTAAGCTGGTCATGAGATGTAACCTGGTCATGAGATGTAAGCTGGTCATGAGATGTAACCTGGTCATGAGGTGTAACCTGGTCATGAGGTGTAACCTGGTCATGAGGTATGAGGTGTAACCTGGTCATGAGGTGTAAGCTGGTCATGAGGTGTAAGCTGGTCATGAGATGTAACCTGGTCATGAGATGTAACCTGGTCATGAGGTGTAAACTGGTCATGAGATGTAAGCTGGTCATGAGGTGTAAGCTGGTCATGAGGTGTAAGCTGGTCATGAGGTGTATATGTATTGTACCCCTAAGGGCAGCTGCAGTCATGAAGGTCCTCAGTACCTCGTGGTTCGGTCGCTAGTCAGCTAGTCATGACTAGCCAGCCCATTTAATGCCAAGTTTATACTTCTTCGATTTCCATCATTTCTCCGTAAACCCTTCCCATAACATAACAAGCATGTTCCACAGTATATACTGTTTTACCATTTCTTTGTTTGGTTATGTATTCGTCGGGGGAGTATTTGTGACGTTTGTGTTTCAGGTAACAAGAGTGTTTTGTTGTATCTTAGATACAGTCGCAAGTTTCAGTTGCCTGTGTGGACATGTTCAAGTGTGGTTTGGATGTTTGTGTCATGTCATGACATTATTGCCATGCTGCATGGACGTGTCATGTGTTTATGTCATGATTTGGCGTGTGAAGCATGCAGGTTCTGATGTCGTCAATCTTTTTTTCAACTTGTAATAATCGAGTGTGAGCGAGGTTACTTGTTAGATTGTTTAGGACCCGTGAATCGAGTGAGTTTGATCCTGTTTATTCAACACTGATGCAGTTGTGGTGCAGCTAGATGCAATGGTTGGTTGGGAGATTCCAGTTAGCATGGAACGTTGGGTAACATAGGATGTATGATAGTCAGTATGTACCAGTGTTCTGGTTTATTACACCACTGCTCAGGAAGGTTATGTTCAGTTTACGTCATACACTACATGATATAGCTACTGATTGTGTTTTAAGGTTATGTTCAGTTTACGTCATACACTACATGATATAGCTACTGATTGTGTTTTAAGGTTATGTTCAGTTTACGTCAATCACTACGTGATATAGCTACTGGTTGTGTTTTAAGGTTATGTTTCAGTTTACGTCAATCACTACATGATATAGCTACTGATTGTGTTTTAAGGTTATGTTCAGTTTACGTCAATCACTACGTGATATAGCTACTGATTGTGTTTTAAGGTTATGTTCAGTTTACGTCAATCACTACGTGATATAGCTACTGATTGTGTTTTAAGGTTATGTTCAGTTTACGTCATACACTACATGATATAGCTACTGATTGTGTTTTAAGGTTATGTTTCAGTTTACGTCATACACTACGTGATATAGCTACTGATTGTGTTTTAAGGTTATATTTCAGTTTACGTCATACACTACGTGATATAGCTACTGATTGTGTTTTAAGGTTATGTTCAGTTTACGTCATACACTACGTGATATAGCTACTGATTGTGTTTTAAGGTTATATTTCAGTTTACGTCATACACTACATGATATAGCTACTGATTGTGTTTTAAGGTTATATTTCAGTTTACGTCATACATTACGTGATATAGCTACTGATTGTGTTTTAAGGTTATGTTCAGTTTACGTCAATCACTACGTGATATAGCTACTGATTGTGTTTTTAAGGTTATGTTCAGTTTACGTCAACCACTACGCGATATAGCTACTGATTGTGTTTTAAGGTTATGTTCAGTTTACGTCAATCACTACGTGATATAGCTACTGATTGTGTTTTAAGGTTATGTTCAGTTTACGTCAATCACTACGTGATATAGCTACTGATTGTGTTTTAAGGTTATGTTCAGTTTACGTCATACATTACGTGATATAGCTACTGATTGTGTTTTAAGGTTATGTTCAGTTTACGCCAATCACTACGATGATATAGCTACTGATTGTGTTTTAAGGTTATGTTCAGTTTACGTCCAATCACTACGATGATATAGCTACTGATTGTGTTTTAAGGTTATGTTCAGTTTACGTCAATCACTACGCGATATAGCTACTGATTGTGTTTTAAGGTTATGTTCAGTTTACGTCAATCACTACGATGATATAGCTACTGATTGTGTTTTTAAGGTTATGTTCAGTTTACGCCATACATTACGGATGATATAGCTACTGATTGTGTTTTAAGGTTATGTTCAGTTTACGTCATACATTACGCGATATAGCTACTGATTGTGTTTTTAAGGTTATGTTCAGTTTACGCCAATCACTACGCGATATAGCTACTGATTGTGTTTTAAGGTTATGTTCAGTTTACGTCAATCACTACGTGATATAGCTACTGATTGTGTTTTAAGGTTATGTTCAGTTTACGTCAATCACTACGTGATATAGCTACTGATTGTGTTTTAAGGTTATGTTCAGTTTACGTCAATCACTACGTGATATAGCTACTGATTGTGTTTTAAGGTTATGTTCAGTTTACGTCATACATTACGTGATATAGCTACTGATTGTGTTTTAAGGTTATGTTCAGTTTACGTCATACATTACGTGATATAGCTACTGATTGTGTTTTAAGGTTATATTTCAGTTTACGTCATACATTACGTGATATAGCTACTGATTGTGTTTTAAGGTTATGTTCAGTTTACGTCATACATTACGTGATATAGCTACTGATTGTGTTTTAAGGTTATGTTCAGTTTACGTCATACATTACGTGATATAGCTACTGATTGTGTTTTAAGGTTATGTTCAGTTTACGTCATACATTACGTGATATAGCTACTGATTGTGTTTTAAGGTTATATTTCAGTTACGTCATACATTACGTGATATAGCTACTGATTGTGTTTTAAGGTTATGTTCAGTTTACGTCAATCACTACGTGATATAGCTACTGATTGTGTTTTAAGGTTATGTTCAGTTTACGTCAATCACTACGTGATATAGCTACTGATTGTGTTTTAAGGTTATGTTCAGTTTACGTCAATCACTACGACGGATATAGCTACTGATTGTGTTTTAAGGTTATGTTCAGTTTAAGGCCAACCACTACATGATATAGCTACTGATTGTGTTTTAAGGTTATGTTCAGTTTACGTCAACCACTACATGATATAGCTACTGATTGTGTTTTAAGGTTATGTTCAGTTTACGTCAATCACTACATGATATAGCTACTGATTGTGTTTTAAGGTTATGTTCAGTTTACGTCAATCACTACGTGATATAGCTACTGATTGTGTTTTAAGGTTATGTTCAGTTTACGTCAACCACTACATGATATAGCTACTGATTGTGTTTTAAGGTTATGTTCAGTTTACGTCAACCACTACATGATATAGCTACTGATTGTGTTTTAAGGTTATGTTCAGTTTACGTCAATCACTACGTGATATAGCTACTGATTGTGTTTTAAGGTTATGTTCAGTTTACGTCAATCACTACGTGATATAGCTACTGATTGTGTTTTAAGGTTATGTTCAGTTTACGTCAACCACTACATGATATAGCTACTGATTGTGTTTTAAGGTTATGTTCAGTTTACGTCAATCACTACGTGATATAGCTACTGATTGTGTTTTAAGGTTATGTTCAGTTTACGTCATACATTACGTGATATAGCTACTGATTGTGTTTTAAGGTTATATTTCAGTTTACGTCAACCACTACATGATATAGCTACTGATTGTGTTTTAAGGTTATGTTCAGTTTACGTCATACATTACATGATATAGCTACTGATTGTGTTTTAAGGTTATGTTCAGTTTACGTCAATCACTACGTGATATAGCTACTGATTGTGTTTTAAGGTTATGTTCAGTTTACGTCAATCACTACGTGATATAGCTACTGATTGTGTTTTAAGGTTATGTTCAGTTTACGTCAACCACTACATGATATAGCTACTGATTGTGTTTTAAGGTTATGTTCAGTTTACGTCAATCACTACGTGATATAGCTACTGATTGTGTTTTAAGGTTATGTTCAGTTTACGTCATACATTACGTGATATAGCTACTGATTGTGTTTTAAGGTTATGTTCAGTTTACGTCAATCACTACGTGATATAGCTACTGATTGTGTTTTAAGGTTATGTTCAGTTTACGTCAATCACTACGTGATATAGCTACTGATTGTGTTTTAAGGTTATGTTCAGTTTACGTCCATACATTACGCGATATAGCTACTGATTGTGTTTTAAGGTTATGTTCAGTTTACGTCATACACTCATTGATGATATAGCTACTGATTGTGTTTTAAGGTTATGTTCAGTTTACGTGAACCACTACGTGATATAGCTACTGATTGTGTTTTAAGGTTATGTTCAGTTTACGTCAACCACTACATGATATAGCTACTGATTGTGTTTTAAGGTTATGTTCAGTTTACGTCATACATTACGTGATATAGCTACTGATTGTGTTTTAAGGTTATGTTCAGTTTACGTCATACATTACGTGATATAGCTACTGATTGTGTTTTAAGGTTATGTTCAGTTTAAATCACTACGATGATATAGCTACTGATTGTGTTTTAAGGTTATGTTCAGTTTACGTCAATCACTACGATATAGCTACTGATTGTGTTTTAAGGTTATGTTCAGTTTACGTCAATCACTACGTGATATAGCTACTGATTGTGTTTTAAGGTTATGTTCAGTTTACGTCAATCACTACGTGATATAGCTACTGATTGTGTTTTAAGGTTATGTTCAGTTTACGTCAACCACTACATGATATAGCTACTGATTGTGTTTTAAGGTTATGTTCAGTTTACGTCATACATTACGTGATATAGCTACTGATTGTGTTTTAAGGTTATGTTCAGTTTACGTCATACACTACATGATATAGCTACTGATTGTGTTTTAAGGTTATGTTCAGTTTACGTCATACATTACGTGATATAGCTACTGATTGTGTTTTAAGGTTATGTTCAGTTTACGTCATACACTACATGATATAGCTACTGATTGTGTTTTAAGGTTATGTTCAGTTTACGTCAACCACTACATGATATAGCTACTGATTGTGTTTTAAGGTTATGTTCAGTTTACGTCATACATTACGTGATATAGCTACTGGTTGTGTTTTAAGGTTATGTTCAGTTTACGTCATACACTACATGATATAGCTACTGATTGTGTTTTAAGGTTATATTTCAGTTTACGTCATACATTACGTGATATAGCTACTGGTTGTGTTTTAAGGTTATGTTCAGTTTACGTCATACACTACATGATATAGCTACTGATTGTGTTTTAAGGTTATATTTCAGTTTACGTCATACATTACGTGATATAGCTACTGGTTGGGTTTTAAGGTTATGTTCAGTTTACGTCATACACTACATGATATAGCTACTGAGTATTTGCTCTGTGATGTCTTGAGGTAAATGTTTTTGATAATGTCCTGAAAATTGCTGATGAAGCATCTTTGAAAGATAATGATGTTTTACAGGAGTAACTTATGAATAACGTGTCATGTATTTGCATATGTTGACCTGTATTTGCATATGTTGACCTGTATTTGCATATGTTGACCTGTATTTGCATATGTTGACCTGTATTTGCAGAGATGCTCTGGAAGAGGAGAGGACAAAGAACAGTCGTCTGTCGGAACTCCTGGAATCTGAGAGGAGGAAGTGTGTGCTGCTGAACTCTCAGGTCACCGACCTCCGCTCACACAACAAGGACTACCTGGAGAAGGAGAGCCGATTTGTGGAGGTACTGATCTCTGATATTCAGCGTGTTTATCACCACCTACAACTGATAGGACCAAATTCATCTTCACTTTGTCATTGTTTCAGCAACTGCGTATCGAACTGGAAGCGGGAGAGAGAGAAACGCGTTGAGTGTTCCCGACAGACGGAACAGGAGCGTTCCGCCAAACATGCTGCACAGCAGGAGCTGGAGGGAGAACGCCGGAAGATACGTTCTGTGCAGACCGACTCTGACGCGCAGGTGGCACAGCTCAAGTTGTCTCTGGAGGCGGAGAGGGGGAAAGTCGATGATCTTAGTCGGTAGGTTTGTTACAGAGTAGTTGTCTCATGAGTTGATGGTTCAGGACCTTAAAGTGCTGCAGTGCTCAAGCTTTCATGAAGCTTTCATGTAGGTGTATGTTAGGGACCGTTCCTAATTTTTGACTAAGGGGTTGATAATGATTTTTATGGAGATTTTTATGTGAATTACCCCCCCCTAAAATGTATGTACAATATACGTGAGCCCCTCTGCATTTTATGTACAAAATCAATGCATGTCCTCCACACACACAGTCCTCCCAAGAACAAAATGGGTGAACCCCCTTAAAATCATCATCATCCTCTCTAGCCATAAAATATGAAGCATCCCTTAAGGCATGGGACTTACAGTTGTCTTTACACAAAGATGACTCTGATGAATCATGTTTCACAAATGATCTCAGGGCTATGACTTGTTTAATTGTATGCTAGACTCAGTGGTAAGTCTAGAGTATGACTGTCACTGTGTTAAGATCATGTGTGGACCATGTCTATGTATGTGATTTATTAATGATTGTATTGTAAAAGCTATCTCGGTGTTTGTTTGTTTTATGTGAAAAAAGTGGTTTTGTTGCCTGACCAGAAACTTGGATGAGGAACGACAAGCTATAACTCGATTGAGGACAACGCTTGAGTCAGAGAGAACAAATCACAAAGAGGCCACCAGTCAGGACCGAGGTATGATCGAGGACATGGAGGCACGCCTGAGGTCAGAGCAGGATAAGGTGGAGGACCTCCATCGCTCGCTGTCCCGAGAAAGGCAGAAGCTGGCAAGCGTGAGCGAGATGCTGGAGACGGAGCGGGAGAATGTGAGGCAGACATTGGAGCATGAGAGAGCCGTGAACCGACAGCTGAAAAGGGATGCTGATGATTTACAGGTGGGTTGATGGATGAGATGTGGATATAAGCTGATAGATGATTAGAGTGAGACTGAATTATTTACAGGTGCCATGATATGGTGTTTGTTCAGAATGTAACGACACCAATGTTCGAAAAATTATCAGTCGGGAAGATTAGACAGAAAGTTGAAAAGGAATAGTTTGTTTTATATCCATCAATATTTTCACCAAGGTTGAGAAGACAGAGCTGAAACGACAAGTCGAGTTTGAGAACGAGACAATAAAGACGTTCCAGAACCAGATGGAGCAGCTCCATGAGGAGGTGAAAGTCCTCAAACAGCGGGAGAACGAGAACCTGATGCGCACAGACGGACAACAGGCAGCGTCACGCAAAACTGTCCGAGATTTAGAACGGGAGAGGGATGAACTGAAGATTAAATTGGTAAGAAGGTGTTGACCTACTTGTCTAGAATGTTCGAAGGTTTTGGACATTTGTACAATGGTGGCATGACAATTATCAAAGGTTTTTTTTTTTTGTGATAAATTGGTTTACAGTTATTTCTCAAAAACAGGAAGTTTGCATGTGTCTACCATTAGAATCTAGATACAATACCGGAATGACTGTTTCAGCATGAGCTGGAGCTGGAGACTGACCGGCTGACGGACAAGGTGCAGGATACCCAGCTGCAGCTGGACGATGTCTGCAGCAAAGAGCTCCAGACCAAGCACGAGCTGGACAGACTGAGACTCACTACAACAACTCACCACACCACAGACCACAGTGAAAGGGTAAGGATCGCATTGTGAATATGTCAGTAACATCTGTCTTTACAAAACTTTCATGACGGTGTAGTATAGTCTGGCGGCTGGTTGAGATACTTTTATGACAAGGATGAAGTCCTGGATGCATGCTGTGTTCCCCAGTAGTCCCCTGTACACTTAGCCCTCAACAAGGATACAATGTGTGAAGCCAAGCTCCAATATACCTTGCCATGATATTGCTTGAATTTGGTTAAAATTTGTGTAAAACCAAACTCACTCACTAATGTTTTCTCTGGGGATTACTTAGTGCCTTCTCTACTTCAGGCGTCAGCTGCAGCAGCCAATGTCAGGAGCAGTGTGGATGGCCCCCAGACATTGAGGCAAGACAATGTGGATAACCTGATACAACGACTGGAGTTCCTGGCCCTGCGCATGCAAGATGATGCCAACTTGACCCCACGCCGCCGCCACGGAGGTGATGAAGTGGACGCCGGTGTGGATACGACATCAAACTATGTGGTGGACATCCAGGAAGTCCTGGCGGACATGAAACAGTTGCAGCAGCCACTAGAGACAAGCGAGGTGAGAGCCGGGATGAACTAGTCATTCATAGACTCGACCCTCGTGGGCCACACTCTACCACTGACACAAGCTATGTCTACACTGGTTATTAAGTTTCAGCATAGATGTATGAAATATGAAAAATATGAATTGTCCTGCCAGCTTAGCTCTGATGCTTTTGGTCTGTCGGTGCCGCCCTGGCCCCGATTTCTCTAAACAAACTTAAGTCTGAGTATTGACTTTTTACTCAAATTTGAGAAATCACAGGAAAATGCATTTGCCAGAATGGACTGAAATCGATATTAAACTCAAACATAGTAGACAATTTGAGTATGGTGGATAGATTACTTAAGTTGTTTCCCCATCGTTTAATTTAAAAATGCAGTTGAGTCACAAAGTCAGCTGTTTCAACTTGTCAAACTCAGTTTGAAATTTGAGTAAAAACTTAAGTTTGTTTCGAGAAATTGGGGCCATGATGAGTACCAGTGATGACCTTGAATGTTGTGTCATGCAGGTCCGAGCCAGTGCTTCAGCTGGTCAGCTGGCCAATGAGCGGATAGTGCAGCACAATGCAGAGTTGACACTGTTCCTCAAGCGGGTGTGTCAGGAGAAGGAAGAGCTCCGAGTGACTCTGGATGCCATGGAAGAGGATGTAGCTCGGCTGCAGAGACAGGGCAGACAAACACAGGTAGCTAATCCTGGGTCTGGGTGTAAGTGGGGTTCTGGGTACCAGGGTCTTATAGCTGAGTCCTATATCTGGGTCTTAGTGGGGATCTGGGTACCAGGGTCTTCTAGCTGAATCCTATATGTGGGTCTTAGTGGGGATCTGGGTACCAGGGTGTTGTAGCTGAATCCTATATGTGGGTCTTACTAGGGATCTGGGTACCACGGTCTTGTAGCTGAATCCTATATGTGGGTCTTAGTGGGGATCTGGGTACCAGGGTGTTGTAGCTGAATCCGATATCTGGGTCTTACTAGGGATCTGGGTATCAGGGTCTTGTAGCTGAATCCTATATGTGGGTCTTAGTGGGGATCTGGGTACCAGGGTGTTGTAGCTGAATCCTATATCTGGGTCCTAGTGGGGATCTGGGTACCAGGGTGTTGTAGCTGAATCCGATATCTGGGTCTTACTAGGGATCTGGGTACCAGGGTCTTGTAGCTGAATCCTATATGTGGGTCTTAGTGGGGATCTGGGTACCAGGGTGTTGTAGCTGAATCCTATATCTGGGTCTTAGTGGGGATCTGGGTACCAGGGTGTTGTAGCTGAATCCTATATCTGGGTCCTAGTGGGGATCTGGGTACCAGGGTCTTATAGCTGAATCCTATATCTGGGTCCTAGTGGGGATCTGGGTACCAGGGTCTTATAGCTGAATCCTATATCTGGGTCTTAGTGGGGATCTGGGTACCAGGGTGTTGTAGCTGAATCCTATATCTGGGTCCTAGTGGGGATCTGGGTACCAGGGTCTTATAGCTGAATCCTATATCTGGGTCCTAGTGGGGATCTGGGTACCAGGGTCTTATAGCTGAATCCTATATCTGGGTCTTAGTGGGGATCTGGGTACCAGGGTGTTGTAGCTGAATCCTATATCTGGGTCCTAGTGGGGATCTGGGTACCAGGGTCTTATAGCTGAATCCTATATCTGGGTCCTAGTGGGGATCTGGGTACCAGGGTCTTATAGCTGAATCCTATATGTGGGTCTTAGTGGGGATCTGGGTACCAGGGTGTTGTAGCTGAATCCTATATCTGGGTCCTAGTGGGGATCTGGGTACCAGGGTCTTATAGCTGAATCCTATATCTGGGTCCTAGTGGGGATCTGGGTACCAGGGTCTTATAGCTGAATCCTATATCTGGGTCTTAGTGGGGATCTGGGTACCAGGGTGTTGTAGCTGAATCCTATATCTGGGTCTTAGTGGGGATCTGGGTACCAGGGTGTTGTAGCTGAATCCTATATCTGGGTCCTAGTGGGGATCTGGGTACCAGGGTCTTATAGCTGAATCCTATATCTGGGTCCTAGTGGGGATCTGGGTACCAGGGTCTTATAGCTGAATCCTATATCTGGGTCTTAGTGGGGATCTGGGTACCAGGGTGTTGTAGCTGAATCCTATATCTGGATCAAGGTGGTGATCTAAGTATCAAGGACAGGTATGCGATATCTGCGTTTAGTTTAGGTCATTGGTCAGGACTAATGGACCGGTCAAGGTTGGGATCTAAGTTACAGACTGGGAAAAATACCATGAGTCTGGTGTGAGCCAGTGTCACTGGTGTAATGAAGACTGTTGTTCCTGGTTTGTCAGGTGAGGAGGAATGAGGAGGTGGAGGAGGATCGGTACCTCCAGGACCGGATGTCCTGGGCTAGCGAGAGGTTGTCCTTGCAGATGTCCTTGGACACCGCCGAGCGGGAGGTGGGGAGACTGCAGTCCGAGATTCGTCTATTCAGAAGTCAGCTGGACTCCGAGGGATATCTCACAGAAGCAGATAGAGACAAGGTGAGAATCTGTGGCACCTTTGTAATTCAAACCAGTGTGTTACTTTTCATTTTCATTTCATATTTGGTAAGGTTTCCTGAGATAAACAGATGTGGTTTCCATGGCAGATGCAGCGACTGTATGGCAAGTTCCTGAGGTCAGAGAGTTTCCGCAAGGCTCTGGTGTATCAGAAGCGCTACCTGCTGATGTTGCTTGGTGGGTACCAGGACTGCGAGCAGGAGACATTGATGCTGATAGCGCAGATGGGCGGCTACCCCTCCGACATCGACGCACGGCGCCGCAGCAGACACACCCGCTTTTTCAGCCTCTTCCGGAGTGCTGCCCGTGTCATCATCGCTATAGCAAGGTAGGTGTTGTTGACGTCTTTACTGCTGTCATCATCGCTATAGCAAGGTAGGGGTTGTTGACGTCTTTACTGCTGTCATCATCACTATAGCAAGGTAGGTGTTGTTGACGTCTTTACTGCCGTCATCATTACTATAGCAAGGTAGTTGTTGTTGACATCTTTACTGCTGTCATCATCACTATAGCAAGGTAGGTGTTGTTGACGTCTTTACTGCTGTCATCATCACTATAGCAAGGTAGGTGTTGTTGACGTCTTTACTGCTGTCATCATCACTGTAGCAAGGTAGGTGTTGTTGACGTCTTAACTGCCGTCATCATCGCTATAGCAAGGTAGGTGTTGTTGACGTCTTTACTGTCGTCATCATTACTATAGCAAGGTAGGTGTTGTTGACGTCTTTACTGCCGTCATCATCGCTATAGCAAGGTAGGTGTTGTTGACGTCTTTACTGCCGTCATCATTGCTATAGCAAGGTAGGTGACGTCGTCTTTACTGCTGTCATTGTCTGCACAGTCAGATTCTGAAGCTCCAATATCTTCATGTAAACAATGAACCGTTCTTGATAACAGCACTTTCCAACCAAGGCCAACAAACACACGGCCATGTTCTATTCTTTATGTAAACGGAAGTGCAAGTCAAATATAGTTTTAAACCCATCTGCATGGTGTTCAGGATTGAGATGCAAACACAATTCACACATGCATGTAAGTTGCTTATTCGTTGCCAGAATCTTGACTGCGATGAGAGGCCATTTCACCAGTGACAGAATCAAGGTGTTGTTTTGTGGGATGATTCAAGGATGACTCATTATGTTTCAGAATGAAGTTCATGGTCCGCAAGTGGCGACGTGCAATCAGAGTTGGCTCCCCTGTTGTGAGTGGGCGAACATGGCGTGTCAACATGAATGTCGGTAGGTTGAAGCATCAGGGGAGATCAGTGACAGCAGCAGCAGCTTGCCAACACAACTCCGATACACTAAAATATCATACAGTCCACTAAAATATCATACAGTTCACTAAAGTTCACTAGAATATCATACAGTTCACTAAAATATCATACAGTTCACTAAAGTTCACTAAAATATCATACAGTTCACTTAAATATCATACAGTCCACTAAAATATCATACAGTTCACTAAAATATCATACAGTTCACTAAAGTTCACTAAAATATCATACAGTCCACTAAAATATCATACAGTTCACTAAAATATCATACAGTTCACTAAAATATCATACAGTCCACTAAAATATCATACAGTTCACTAAAATATCATACAGTCCACTAAAATATCATACAGTCAACTAAAATATCATACAATCCACTAAAATATCATACAGTCCACTAAAATATCATACAGTCCACTAAAATATCATACAATCCACTAAAATATCATACAGTCCACTAAAATATCATACAGTTCACTAAAATATCATACAATCCACTAAAATATCATACAGTTCACTAAAATATCATACAGTCCACTAAAATATCATACAGTTCACTAAAATATCATACAGTCCACTAAAATATCATACAGTTCACTAAAATATCATACTGTCCACTAAAATATCATACAGTTCACTAAAATATCATACAGTTCACTAAAATATCATACAGTCCACTATTTGAGAGGAAAGTTTTTGTTCTTCCCAACTCACACATGTCATACCGTTAAAACAATTACTAATGCATAAAATTAAGTTAAACAATTTACTGGTGTAGATAAAATACCAAGAGTTGTGTTCATTTGAAATATTGACTTATTGCTCTAAGATGACCAAAACTTAGTACAGAGGCTTTGTCGGAGGTGACTGTGATAGTCGTAGTCGTTTGGGAAAAGTTATCACAGTTTACAAAATGTGTTATGATTGTCAGCTTGTGGTGGTCTCACACTGCCATGCTTTGTTCAGTTGATACCAGCTGATTTTGTGCATTGTCACACTTATCATGAACCACAGTATAAGTTAGAAAACAAAATATTTATTGAAACAAATTTCAGGTTACACATCGTCGACGTACACATCACCCCAGCCAGCAGCTTCTCCGCGGTACTTCCCATCAATGTCCAGAATTCCTGATCTGCCGAGATCATCAGCCTCCGAGCCCCTCTTGGTGTTAAATGGAGATATAGCTAACCCGTACCGACAGTCCTCCAGTGCGGGAACTGCAAGACGCCAGTTTACAACACCGCCCACTAAAGATACCAGTGCTAGTCAGACTACTTATGACAGATCTCCTTCCTCCAGTGCTAGAAGGTGAGAAGTTACAGGTCGCGTGTGTGTCAGGTGGGTTAGTTGGGCGGGGCAGGGGGCTGGGTGGTGTGGAGTTGGGTGAGATGTGGCAGGTTACATGTGTGTCAGGTGGGTTAGTTGGGCGGGGCAGGGGGCTGGGTGGTGTGGAGTTGGGTGAGATGTGGCAGGTTACATGTGTGTCAGGTGGGTTAGTTGGGTGGGGCAGGGGAGTGGGTCGGTGGGTTGGGTGAGATGTTGCAGGTTACATGTGTGACAGGTGGGTTAGCTGGGCGGGCAGGGGGCTGGGTGGTGTGGAGTTGGGTGAGATGTGGCAGGTTACATGTGTGTCAGGTGGGTTAGTTAGGCTGGGCAGGGGCTGGGTGGTGTGGAGTTGGGTGAGATTTGGCAGGTTACATGTGTGACAGGTGGGTTAGTTGGGCGGGGCAGGGGGCTGGGTGGTGTGGAGTTGGGTGAGATGTGGCAGGTTACATGTGTGTCAGGTGGGTTAGTCTGGTGGGGTAGGGAATGGGTGGTGTGGAGTTGGGTGAGATGTGGCAGGTTACATGTGTGTCAGGTGGGTTAGTTGGGCGGGCAGGGGGCTGGGTGGTGTGGAGTTGGGTGAGATTTGGCAGGTTACATGTGTGACAGGTGGGTTAGTTACGGGCAGGGGCTGGGTGGTGTGGAGTTGGGTGAGATGTGGCAGGTTACATGTGTGTCAGGTGGGTTAGTCTGGTGGGGTAGGGAATGGGTGGTGTGGAGTTGGGTGAGATGTGGCAGGTTACATGTGTGTCAGGTGGGTTAGTTGGGTGGGGCAGGGGGCTGGGTGGTGTGGAGTTGGGTGAGGTGTGGCAGGTTACATGTGTGTCAGGTGAGTTAGTTTGGCGGGGCAGGGGGCTGGGTGGTGTGGAGTTGGGTGAGATGTGGCAGGTTACATGTGTGTCAGATGGGTTAGTTAGGTGGGGCAGGGGAGTGGGTGGTGTGGTGCTGGGTGATATGTGGCAGGTTACATGTGTGTCAGGTCGGTTAGCTGGGCGGGGCAGGGTACTGGGTGGTGTGGAGTTGGGTGAGATGTGGCAGGTTACATGTGTGTTATGTGGGTTAGATGGGTGGGGCAGGTTGCTGGGTTGTGTGGAGTTGGATGAGAAGTTACAGGTCGTGTGTGTGTCAGGTGGGTTAGTTGGGCGGGGCTGGGGCTGGGTGGTGTGGAGTTGGGTGAGAAGTTACAGGTCGTGTGGGTGTCAGGTGGGTTTGTTGGGCGGGGCAGGGGGCTTGGTCGTGTGGAGTTGGGTGAGATGTGGCAGGTTACATGTGTGTCAGATGGGTTAGTTGGGTGGGGCAGGGTGCTGGGTGATGTGGAGTTGGGTGAGATGTGGCAGGTTACATGTGTGTCAGGTGGGCTAGTTGGGTGGGGCAGGGGGGCTGGGTGGTGTGGAGTTGGGTGGATGCAAATTAGAAATGCTAGCCACTGCTATAGCCGTCTCCAGGCACAAAGATTGTACAAGTGATAAAAACGTTGTATAATCCTGGAAAATGTTAGAAGTTCAAATCATAGTGGGTCCAGCCTGTAAATTATCTTACAAATATTATGCACTGGTGTTGCTATGGTTTTGTAAATTAATGGTTTTATGATTTGCCTTATCTTGTTTATCAAAACTCAGTCAGCATTGTCTTTGTTGACAGTTTTGTTTTGTAATATCATCATGACAGTGTTCTCGCCTGTGCTTGCAGAGTTGTCTACCTTTGCAAGGCTAGGATATGTGGATGATAGTTCCAAGTCTCACGTTCACCTCATTTATGACCATTGTTTGGTGTATTAATAGGAAATATCTGTCCCACAGACGTCTGCTTCAAAATAATACCAGTGTTACCTTAAGCACATATCGGAGTCATCCCATGACACGGGCTACGACTGCAGACGAATCGACAGACGACTTCCTTCACCGATTAGAGAATCTTCAAACCCGCCTTGGAAGTTACAACAGTGGTAGGTACCATGCCCAGTACTGACACTAACAGTTCCTGGAATCTGAATGTCTGCTAGGCTGGGATGTTCTAGAAACAATAAGTTAGTTCTCTGTAGTATGTTTAAAAGTTGTTACAAAAGTTCACAGATTTGATTGTATGAAACTTAGTTCATCTGAACACAGGAATGTTTTAGTTCTTTACAACGCGATGGTAACCATGTGTACAAATTGCTTAGTTTAATATTTTCAGGAACCATTTTCAAATATGTTAGTCTAGGATATGGAAACATGTCCAGAATGAGCAAAATCTTTATTCTTCCTTATCCTGACTCATGCTTATTTGCTTTCTCATCCTCTCTTCCGAACGGTCAAGTGGAAACTTGAATCCCTTCAATTCCCTTGAAGCGAACGTATAATCACTCACCCTGAATTACCTCAGGCGTCTAGTATACTAAATCCACAAAACTTAAGAAGTTTACTTCTAATACGAATGTATAAGAAGGTGGTCCCCCGACAAGCATCAAGAAATATTGAAGTTAGCCACAGAAGAAGAAAATTCCCAGGGGGTATATATCAAGCGAATGCTGACGTGAATACAATCATACAGGGAATCCCGTTAGGTGGTTGACCACCACCGATTCAGTCGGATTCAGTAAGCAAATAAGCATGAGTCATGATAAGGAAAAATATGTAATATTTATGATAAAATTAATATTTTATACTTATCCTGACTCATGAGATGAAGCCCTCCCAACCGTCCCCTCTCACCACCCGGGTTTCCCTGTAAACCTGTGTGGGGCTTATATCGGAGAGAGTGAGGAGCAAGGCATGGCAGGTCACATGCCAGTTTTGGCGGGAAAAGGGAGCTAATTCAGGGTGAGTGATTGTACGTTCACTTCAAGGGAATTGAAGGGATTCAAGTTTCCACTTGACCGTTCGGAAGAGAGGATGAGAAAGCAAATAAGCATGAGTCAGGATAAGTATGAAATATTAATTTTATCATAAAAATTACATGCTTGAATAACAAGTATATAATCATGGTTTGAATATCAAAGCATGTGTTTAGCCTGCTTTGCTGTAGTATTGAAGGACTAACAATGACTTCACATCTCCCCAGGTTCCAGTCCAAGCAGAACAACTGCATGGAGATAACAGCATGACAACATCCAACAAGACTTTATTGGAAGAAATGTGAGACTTTAATGGCAGGTGAAATATTCAGCCAAACCAGACCCTTCCCGAAATGCGTCCTCGCTGCAGGTATTCTGTGGACCACACTTCTTCCCTCTGTGTCATTGTTATTAAGATGAGTGCTGAAATTCAGGAGCTATTACTACAAATGACTGTAAAACTGAAGTTGGTTTGATAAAATCAGACACAGTTTTACAGTGAGAAATATAATGTGTTAATGATGTCAGTTACATTGCTATGATCAAGACAGCTGTAGCTGAGTGGAGTTAATCCACACACAATGTTAATCAAATGTATTTCAAACATTCATTCAGGGTGTATTTGTTATGGTTTTGTCGACTACAAATCAACATTAAGGATGTTTAAGATTTTCACTGATTCACTTTGAGCTGAGTTTTAAGTGGAAGGTTTTAGGTCTGAAAAGATTTACAAATTTCATTTTAAGTATCCGATTCGTGTGTTTAACTGATGTTTAAAGTGTTAAACTCTTGATTTCATGTACAATGTACTTGTACCATTCTATTCTTAACATGTTCTGCATCTTACTGGAAGTGAGGTGCTGTCATCAGGAAACTGGTTTTACTTGTGTATGTTTAGACAGATTCGGCAACTTACAACTCACACCTGTTTTTAGCACTGAAGAAATGTTGGAAAGATGCAAATATTTATATTTCATAATCTTTGCTGTATTTTTCATAATGAATACCATAGTCTTCTGTTGATGTCCTTGTAAAAATATGTATTTTAATTTATTTTTGTTGATAAGTAGTAATGCATTTGTATGTCGTGTTCGGTGACAAGTGTTCCACAGTTTCCTGAGAGACATTTTTAGTTGGAAATCTCCTCTTAAGGACGTCCATGTTTGTTTGTGCCAAAAACAGTGAATGGAGGCCAAAATATAGAGCATTTCAGATTGGGTTGATATTTTTAGAATTTTGGATATGGATATTTTTGTAGTTGGACATAGCAGTCACTTACACCAGTAGTCACCAGTAGAAGTACTACAGGTAAATACTGGAACTTCTGGCCTGACACCAGTCAGTCTCTGTGACATGGCCAGGGCCCCAGGTAACTCACAGTACGATTATAGATAAACATCTGGTATTGAAGTGAAGCAGCTGTAAGTAAATGAAACAACTGTAACATTCTAGGAAAGCACCTGTAAGGTTTATGCATGTTTAAGTGTTAATGACAGACTCTGTTTTGTCTTTTTATAAAAAAATGTATTCAGTTTCAGGCTTATATCAAGACCTATTTTCTAAGTGGATCTGAATTGAACACTGTCTTGGTGGAATATAAGTCCAACCGTATGTGGATTATTGATCCAAGTGGAAGCTACGAGAAAAGATATGTTTTAGTGAATGCCCTAAAGTGTCAATAGCCTAATGTATACTGTAATCTGCCTGGAAACTGTTGATTCTGTTGATTTTGATTTACATATGTATTTAGCTGTTGTTTAGAAATAGGGAAACGTGCCACTGCAATAACTATCCCAAGGCATGCTTCACATAGTTTCAGTAATAAATATCTTTGTACTGAATATTAGGAGTTTCAGATGATATTCAGGAGTAGCTTGTAACTTCCTTCCAATATAAAAGGAATTTCAGCTGCTTTTAGTGATAATTGACAATGTATATGTCATTTTCATCACAAGAACACTGTATTCACAACTTCAGTCCAATCCGTCGCACTACTTTCTGTGATATGTGTTATATGCCCACTGTAACTTGTATTCATCCGCCATAGCTTCTAATTCACTGGAGGACCTGTTTCTCGCCTGTGAGATGGCATTTCTTGTATAGTGCATAAAATGCCGATTAAATAAACTATTATTTTCACAGTTACAAATAGTTCTGTTGTTCATCTTGTGTATCCTCTGAATACACCTAATACCAGCACTCAAAGTCAGCCGCCAAACCCGCTCAGTGGAAACCACAGTGGCTGAGCGGGTTAGGCAGCAGACTGTGTGTGCTGGTGATTAGGTGCGTGACTCTGAGGGTGTGGGTCCCAGATGGGACTCAACCCAACAAAAAGTACTAGAATCTGTACTTTGCTAAGAAAGTGTAATCCCAAAGGTAACTTATGTTATATTTTATTCTCCTTCTATTACGATGCAGACCGAGAACACATCCTCCACCGCAGCATCTTGTTGACGTCACCTTCTCCTTCTCCTAACTTATCCGAGAGGTAAACGTGAGAGAGCTGCATCGCTTTGTTTTGCCTTCATCACTCAAAGTTGATATGAGTGGAAAACTAAACAACCATTGAATCCAACTGTCTCTCATCACAGACCTCACAATATGGTGGAGCATGGTGGACGTGATGCTACAGTTTGACTGACTCATTGCAATCACTGACTTACCTAAGTATTTCTGGTATCTACCTTCAGTGTCACAGCCTTTAATCGATAAACAACATTGAATGTTGATTTCTTGGATAAACAATAATAAACATTGCCCTTCATGGATAAACAGGGTACACACAGACAAACTTCTATCCAACAAGGGCAGTAGCTAGATGGATGAGGAGAGATGGGGTAGCCTAGTGGTTAAAGTGTTTGCTAATTACGCTGAAAACCCGGGTTCAATTCTCAACATGGGTACAATGTGTGAAGCCCATTTCTGGTGTCCCCTGCCGTGATGTTGCTGTAATATTTCTAAAGCGGCGCAAAACCAAACTCATGTACAGCTATGTGAAGCTTTACATTCATACCGCCCCATGTGTTGTGGAGTGTCGCTGGAATATTGCTAAAAGCAGCGTAAAACCAAACTCAGTCAGTCAGTCAGTCAGCCTGATGCTGACCATACACATCAATCTCTGGAATATACAGCAGTAACTGATGGCCATGTGACTGACCTGGCAAATTAGATATTCTACTCAGGGTGTGATAAACTGGTATTACGCAGTGACAGTAAGCAAGTTCTCTGTATATATGTGGAGTATGTGGAGTTATCTCCCTTTGACTGTTCGGCCTTTGCTAACTGTGGCTGGAGTGCACAAGAGCGTAGATTCGTATATTGTAGTAACGGATGTAGGTTTGAGTGTATATTTATACCGAGCGCATGACTGTGTGTGTGTGTGTGTGTGTGTGTGTGTGTGTGTGTGTGTGTGTGTGTGTGTGTGTGTGTGTGTGTGTGTGTGTTTGTGTGTGTGTGTGTGTGTGTGTGTGTTTGTGTGTGTGTGTGTGTGTTTGTGTGTTTGTGTGTTCCAGCCACCTTCCGGGGCGATAGGGTAGCCTAGTGGTGAAAGCGTTGGCTTGTCACGCTGAAGAACCGGGTTCGATTCCCCATTTGGGTACAGTGTGTGAAGCCGATTTTTGGTGTCTCCCACCGTGATATTGCTAAAAGCGGCGTAAAACCATACTCACTCACTCGTTCACTCCAGCCACCCACCCTCCCATCCCATCCACCATATTTGGTAAGACGTAAAACCTGCATCTAACTGGGAGCACGTGAAATGCATTCCCTCAGACATTTAGACTAAAGGGGTTTGTATTAAGAAATAGATATACAGGAGTCACAGTCTCGTTACATATTGAACATAATTATGTCTGTCTGTTAGATTGTTTAATCAAGTTAAGACTGAACTACTTCAATAGGCTTTTAATAACAGTGATAGGAGCTGGAACAGTGTTCAAGGTCGCCAGGCAGGTGCCTTATCACACATTCTCTCCACTGGAGAGTTGCAAGGTTAGTGCGGTTCATGTACTTTCAGAATATAGTACAAGTCTATGCATAAAACTGGAATATCATTCCCGATATGTGCTATTCAGAGAACTAGGATTCTGTTAAAAGTTCAACAGTCTCTTAACAGCGACTTCCCTGCACTGGTATTGCTGGAATATTGCTAAAAGCAGCGTAAAACAGATAGGGTAGTGTTGGAGACACGCAGATGTTGGAGACAGGGTAGTGTTGGAGGCAGGGTAGTGTTGGAGACACGCTGATCTTGGAGACAGGGTAGTGTTGGAGACAGGGTAGTGTTGGAGACACGCTGATGTTAGAGACAGGGTAGTGTCTGAGACACGCTGATGTTGGAGACAGGGTAGTGTTGGAGACACGCTGATGTTGGAGACAGGGTAGTGTTAGAGAAAAGCTGATGTTGGAGACAGGGTAGTGTTGGAGACACGCTGATGTTGGAGACAGGGTAGTGTTGGAGACATGTTGATGTTGGAGACAGGTTAGTGCTGGAGACAGGGTAGTGTTGGAGACACGCTGATGTTGGAGACAGGGTAGTGTTGGAGACACGCTGATGTTGGAGACAGGGTAGTGTTGGAGACACGATGTTAGAGACAGGGTGGTGTCTGAGACACGCTGATGTTGGAGACAGGGTAGTGTTGGAGACACGCTGATGTTTGAGACAGGGTAGTGTCTGAGATACGCTAGTGTTGGAGACAGGGTAGTGACTGAGATACGCTGGTGTTGTAGACATGGTAGTGTTGGAGATACGCTAGTGTTGGAGACAGGGTGGTGTTGGAGATACACTAGTGTTTGAGACAGGGTAGTGTTGGAGATACACTAGTGTTGGAGACAGGGTAGTGTTGGAAATAGGTTAGTGTAGGAGATACACACTAGTGTTGGAGACAGGGTAGTGTCTGAGATAATGCGATGTTGTTGGAGACAGGGTAGTGTTGGAGATACACTAGTGTTGGAGACAGGGTAGTGTTGGAGTCATGCTGATGTTGGAGACACGTTAGGATAGTGTTGACTGAGAGGGTAGTGTCTGAGATACGCTGTTGTTGGAGACAGGTTAGTGTTGGAGATGCGATGATGTTGGAGACAGGGTAGTGTTGGAGATACACCAGTGTTGGAGACAAGTAAGTGTTGGATACATGCTGATGTTGGAGACAGGTTAGTGTTGGAGACACGCTGATGTTGGAGACAGGGTAGTGTCTGAGATACACCAGTGTTGGAGACAAGTAAGTGTTGGATACATGCTGATGTTGGAGACAGGGGAGTGTTGGAGTCACGCTGATGTAAGAGACAGGTTCATGGTGGAGACAGGGTAGTGTCTGAGATACACTAGTGTTGGAGACAGGTTAGTGTTGGAGTGACGCTGATGTTGGAGACAGGTTAGTGTCTGAGATACACTAATATTGGAGACACGGTAGTGTCTGAGATACACTAGTGTTGGAGACAGGTTAGTGTTGGAGATACGCTGATGTTGGAGACAGGGTAGTGTCTGAGACACGCTGATGTTGGAAACAGCTTAGTGTTGGAGACACGCTGATGTTGGAGACAGGGTAGTATCTGAGATACACTAGTGTTGAAGACAGTTTAGTGTTGGAGACACGCTGATGTTGGAGACTTGGTAGTGTCTGAGATACGCTAGTGTTGGAGAGAGGGGAGTGTTGGAAATGCGCTAGAGTTGGAGACAAGTTAGTGTTGGAGACATGCTGATGTTGGAGACAGCAGAGTGTTGGACTCACGCTGATGTTGGAGACAGGTTCGTGTTGGATACAGGTTAGTGTTGGAGATACACTAGTGTTGGAGACAGGTTAGTGTTGGAGACATGCTGATGTTGGAGACAGGGTAGTGTCTGAGATACACTAGTGTTGGATAGAGGTTAGTGTTGGGCACACTCAGATGTTGGAAACAGGGTAGTGTCTGAGATACACTAGTGTTGGAGACAGGGTAATGTCTGATATACACTAGTGTTGGAGACAGGGTAGTGTCTGAGACACGCTGATGTTGGAGACAGGTTAGTGTTGGAGACATGCTTATGTTGGAGACAGGGTAGTGTCTGAGACACGATGATGTTGAAGACAGGGTAGTGTCTGAGACGCTGATGTTGGACACAGTGTAGTGTTGGAGACACGCTGATGTTGGAGACAGGGTAGTGTCTGAGATACGTTAGTGTTGGAGACAGGGTAGTGTTGGAGTCACGCTGATCTTGGAGACAGGGTAGTGTTGGGTACACACTGATGTTGGAGACAGGGTGGTGTCTGAGATACACTAGTGATGGAGACAGGGTAGTGTCTGAGATACACTAGTGTTGGAGATACGCTAGTGTTGGAGTCACGCTGATGTGAGACAGGGTAGTGTTGGAGACACGCTGTGACAAAAGCGGTGTAAAACTAAACCCTCTCACTCACTCACCTTCCACCACGGTAAGGTGAGCTAACAGCATTGGCTATGTGATGTGATAATTCAACCATGCAGGGTAGACAGGGAAGTGTTAGAGACACGCTGATGTTGGAGACAGGTTAGTGTTGGAGACAGGTTAGTGTTGGAGACACACTGAGTTGAGAGAGGGTAGTGTCTGAGACACGCTGATGTTTGAGACAGGGTAGTGTTTGAGATACGTTGAGTTTGGAGACAGGGTAATGTCTGATGTACACTAGTGTTCGAGACAGGGTAGTGTCTGAGACACAGCTGATGTTGGAGACAGGTTAGTGTTGGAGACACGCTTATGTTGGAGACAAGGTAGTGTCTGTGACTCGATGATGTTGAAGACAGGGTAGTGTTGGAGATACACTAGGGTTGGAGACAGGGTAGTGTTGGAGATACGCTGATGCTGGAGACAGGGTAGTGTCTGAGATACACTAGTGTTGGAGTCACACTGATGTTGGAGACAGGGTAGTGTTGGAGATACACTAGTGTTGGAGACAGGGTAGTGTTGGAGATGCGCTGATGTTGGAGACAGGGTAGTGTTGGAGATACACTAGGGTTGGAGACAGGGTAGTGTTGGAGATACGCTGATGTTGGAGACAGGGTAGTGTCGGAGTTATGCTGGAGTTGGAGACAGGATACTGTTTGAGATACGCTAGTGTTGGAAACACGGTAGTGTCTGAGATACGCTTGTGATGGAGACAGGTAGGTGTTGGAGATACCCTAGTGTTGGAGAC